AAAGGCAAGTAAACAGCGCTGGGTGTGCGGGGAGTCTACGCTCCACCAACACGCACACACGAACATCAAACATTCTAAACATATAGAACATGGCTTTTACATACTAAACCCAAGTATGCCTATACATACGTACAATCAGGAAAGAACAAACAATCCTTTAAGTTCCATGACTTACTAAACTCGAGTACGCCTATACATGTGTACAATCAGAAAAGGTAACAAACAATCCTTTCAGTTCTATGACTTTACAGTCTCCATTTTCAATTCCTTTTGAACAATATGTCTCGCTTTAAGTTGTCAAGCAACTCGGTCTTCAGGCCCTATGTATCCCGTTCTCTTGATTCAAAGATCGAAGCCAAAATTCCTTTAAGTGGTATATTCTTTATTGCAGCGCTGGATGCATGGGGGATCTCTCCACCTATCATGCATACCCAAAGCAGAAAGCAGTCTTGACTTTATACAATCAATCTATCAATATTCTACAAGCGCCTATACATATTCATTACCTATCCCCACCTTCCCTCGCTTCTCATGCTAATTAGCCTTTTGGCACCTTGCGCCTGCGTAGAGCCTCCCAAGAATTGTGGGCAGTGGTCTTTGGGAGGAAGACCCCAAGTCTTCCTCACAGTGTACTTTTCACCTTTGGCCAGGAATCTGCTGAGTTGGCAGGTTGTTAATTGCAAGAGCTGGTTGTTGCTAATTCTTCCGTTTGTTGTATCTTTATAATGAATTCCAATGTCCAGTTTTGAGATTTATAGTCCTTACATTTGTTTCTCTGTCCGTCTGCCGCTTCCTTATCATGAGTTCCAGTGTCTAGTTTCGAGATATACAGTTCTTGTCTGGGAATTGTCCTTGCCTCCCCAATGCCTCCTTAATCACTTCCCAGATCACAGAAAAGCATATCCATCTCCTTTTCAAGGCCAATAGACCTGGGTCAAAAGGCATGTTCAGGTCAACAGGGGGCGTAACAGCAAAAGCCTTCCATGGCTGTGGCAGCAGAGGGGCCCATGGCGTAGCAGTCGGATCAGTAAAGGAGCCCGCAGCTCCCTCACTGTCTGGCACCCACACGTTTGTGATTGTGGCTCCACATGGCTCTTTAAGGCCTCTGAGACTGCTCGCCAGGTGCCAAGCAATCCCACTGCAACCTCGTCGTTTCTAGTTGCAGAGTCCCAACACCTTGACCTCAGTTTGGTCCCATATTTCAGGCTCGTGAACTGTCCAATTGTTAATAAGGAGAATAAGCTGTAAGGTTACCAGGACAGTCTTTGTTCCTAAGGACGTGTGATTCCCCATAATGCGCAACTGCTTACCAGTGAGAGGCAGTTGTGTGCACGGGTCTGCTTCTCTCAGCTCGAGCTTCTCTCCAGCTCCAGTGCGCCTGTTTCCAGTGACTTTCTGTACGAGCTTCTCTGAGCGGTTTGCTGAGTTTGGCCGAACCTATCTTCATGAGGCAATCAAAGTGCCTGTTCCCATCCTGGTCTCCATTCTCCCAACCTGTTCCTCTTCACTTCTTTTTCCTGCTTCTTTATTGATGTAACTTCATCGTGCTGCCTTTTATTACCTTGAGGGCAGGCTCCCCTCTTATACCCTTCTCTCCACAGCAGTTCTTTTCAAAACAACTTTTCATTGGTCAAACAACTTTGAATGCAACAACAACAGCAAACACCCAGAAACATCCATGCCTTAATGGCTGGAGAAAAAGAGAACCATCTGGAGAACAAGAAACTGGAGACTGCATGGAGTCTCCTGCAACACCCTTCTTTGTTCCCTCTAAACCCTTTTATATTCCTGATGGCCTCGTCCTTAAGAGTCTAATATTATCTCAATCACGGGGTTTTCCAAACCCCATGGCCACACTCCCAAATCTCCTCCTTCTTTATTAATATCAACCATTTTCTCGACACGAATTACCACTCCATATATCACAACATTCTTAGCAGCACTCCCGTTTTGGCTCAGATTGGCTGCATGATGATGTATACCTTTTTGATCTCATCTATTTAAAAGATAAAGCTTCGAAACAACTGCTTGCTTCTTATTCAGGTCTGACTTTGACTGGCTTGTGTTACTTGCCAGCAACTGCAAGAGAGTATTTGTAGAAAAAAAATCAGATGAAATACCGTAAAAGAAATCCTACAGAAAGTATTCCTCCTGTTATATATTTTATTTTATATATTTTGACCCAGGCCTATTGGCCTTGAAAAGGAGATGGATATGCTTTTCTTTGATTTGGGAAGAACGGGATACATAAGGCCTGAAGACCAAGTTGCCTGACAACTTAAATCAAGGCATATTGTTCAAAGGGAATGGAAAATGGAGACTTGTATGTAATCAAGAAAAGGAGTGGAAAAATGAGACTGTTGAGTCGTGGAACTTAAAGGATTGTTCGTTACCTTTTCTGATTCACAGAATCAGAATCACAGATTGTACACATGTATAGGCGTACTCGAGTTTAGTAAGTCATGGAACTTAAAGGATTGTTTGTTCTTTCCTGATTGTACGTATGTATAGGCATACTTGGGTTTAGTATGTAAAAGCCATGTTCTATATGTTTAGAATGTTTGATGTTCGTGTGTGCGTGTTGGTGGAGCGTAGACTCCCCGCACACCCAGCGCTGTTTACTTGCCTTTTATACCGTTTATATCTTTTAAACTTTTTATGAACATTTCTTTTATAAATATTACTAAATTCAGATTGAGTTACGACTTCATTTATTACACTCCATATCCAAAAAACCTTTCCTTCATGGTTTTTGGAATGTTCCCTAAAAACTGGAGAGGTGAGTGGGGAAAAAAGGACACAAAACCTAGGATTGTTTATTTTTTCCTAGACTTTGAAGGATTTAATCATTTCTTAAGCAAAATAAAATAACACTGGCATGAATTTATTAGTTTGTCCTAGTGTTGTTACCTTATGTTCTAAATGGCAGCAGCATTCACTCTCATGCAGACAGGCCAGTAATATCCCTAAAGCTTTGACACAGACTATGCTTTGAGCACACGTGGGAATACAAATGTTGTTTTTGCAGAGTGGCATTGTTTATAGGAATGTGGTATTTATATGCTTACAGTGATAAGAAAGCTTAGCAGGTGACCTTGTGAAATGCAGACAATCAGACTCCTTGGAACAATTAGGTGAAAATCACAGTGTTAAGTCAGAAAAGTGAAGAAACATTACCACTTCAAACAGCAAAAAAGTCAAAAGAAATTTGAAATTTAACAGGCTGGCAACTGAAGGCCATGCATTGTTTGTGAAGCATTGGATAGATTGTGAACCTGGATTACCCACTCAGTGGGGAAACAGGGGAGGGACCTGTCATCAAGAAGTATATACACACCGTGTTTTAGAACTAGTAGGGGCACTCTACTGCTTGTGGGCACCCACCATTGCAATCGCAAATAAATCACTATTTCACTGAGATCCTCACCTGAGCCTGTTACTGGCTACAGAGTGTTTCTCCCACACACACTCCACTGTTTCAAGAGTAACAACTTTGAGGCCTCAGGATTGAAGTCTACCAGTATCAGGAGGCTTATCTGAATCAATTATCATTTATGATCATTATACAAATGCTTATCCACACTGATGAAATCTTGCAGCTAACAATCATACTCTAAATGCATTTGGATGTGTGCATGTGTATATACTGTGAACATAGCATAAAAAGACAATTTCAGGAGGTGAAGAGTTATGTGCTTCATCACTGAACTCTAAGTTCCTCCAAAATAATTTACAGTTACTATGAAAAGTTTCCCATAAAGCACTAGTGTCTTTCCAAATGTAGTGTCTGGGCATACAGTTACAGCCTACATTTATATTGATTTATTGTCCTAATATGGTTCAAGATATTCTAATGTTGTGTTTTGCATTATACCACACAAGCATTTTTACCTGTGTGGCTGCGTAAGAGGCCACACGATGGCACTGTGTAATCAGTTTCAGTGCCTTAGTTACAGGAGCTTTTATGTAAAGTTAGGCTTGAACTCTCAGCTCATTTGAGCTGGTAGATACAGGAAGTTAAATTAAAGTTGTTCCCTCACTTTAATTGTTAACCCTAACTTTATAGTTGGGTCTCAACACCCATGGCTAGCAGAACATACCCAAACTTTGATCTCAGCCAAGGCACAGCTAATTTTAATGCTTCTTATCACTCAAGAAAGGATCTGCAGAAACCTGAAGTCTCTGTACAGAATTGCCTTTAATCATGTCCTTTTTGTTAGATATCCTTCTGATTTTTTAAAAAAATTTCTTGCCCTTGGCTTGAATCTAGAGAAAGAATAGCAAATGAAATGAAAATGGAAAAAATAGCAAAAGAAATAGCAAATTTCTATGCCTACCAGATTAAAGGTTGGGAATTGTCTAGTAACAAATTCCCAAAGACTGGCTGAACTTCAAGCAGCTGTTTATAGAATGTATCAGGAATCACCTGTACAAGCTTCATAAAACTTGCACTAAGATGGAGTAGCCTGTTGCAACCTTGATGAAGTAAAGTCACCTCAAACCAAGTCTTATCCAGTGCTGGATAGCAGCCAACTATAAGTCATACCACCTCCATAGCTGACTTGTCTCACACCATTATGAAAAGGAACTGAGACCATTACAAGTGTGAAAGCAGAAACTACTGAATTTGCACTTGTGACATAAAGGATGAGGGTTCTTCCATCCTTGCCTCACAGAGCATAGACAATACCAACAGTGAAAGCCACATAATGCAGTGACAATTATAAGACTAAGTGGAAGTCTAAGTACACATCTGCATAAGGATCTAAGATGCCAACCACTAATGTGTCTAAGACAACCACTGAGAAGAAGAGCAAATATGTTCAAGAAGTGAAGTGCCAGAGCAGTACTAGCAATAGTAATTTGCATTATATCAAAAATGATTTCATGTGTGCAGCTTTAATATCTTGTCAAATAGCCTTGTTTTCAAAGCAGTATTTTACTACCTGCATCTTATGCCCTTGGTATATTAGCTCTACAGAAAATAGAGAAGTCCCATATTACACACATTAAACCAACCTTTATTAAAAGTTTAATTAAAGTATAGCACTCAACAGAAACTTTGGAATATGCTTTTGAAGCTCATAGTTTCATAGATGCATATCAATGATCTCATCCAGTGTAGAAATGAAGTCAGCAGTTGATTGTAGAAAGTCTGAAAGTTAGAAATACAGCAAATCAGTTTCTCACGAAGCCCAGAATTTTAGTCTCATATAAGCTAGCTCCTAGTGAGTTCGCATAAACCACTTGAATGACTATGGGAAATACTGTTGGACAATTCATCCTAACTAGTCATTTAGCAATACACTGCAGAAAGCTACACAGCAATATGGCTTTGAGACCACTGTTAGTGGAGTTGACCAGTTACATTCAGCTTGGCTGTATACCAAGAGTTGCTTGATATAAGTGTGCTATTCTGGTGCTTATGACAGCAATGACAGTTCACTCTTGCAGCCTTTCCTCCCAGACCACTAATGAGCACTGTATGCACTGAAACTCGTACTAGTTTTCCACTTACTAGACTCCCATGACAGCTCTTCAGTCTTCACAGGTGAAAGACACATGTTCAGTGGTTTTTCAGCAGTGCTTGTAAATATCTTGAGAGGAGCACCACACAGGTTGATATCGCTTACTCTGTCCTCTTCAGGAAGATCAAAATTCTCAAAGTCTATTTGGGAAAGACACAGTAGTATAGTAACAGTGTACAGTAGCATGGGAAGCTGCAGTCATTCTAGATTAAATGAAGTAAAAGTAGTTCCAAAACAACTCAGTCTGTTAGTTACATCTTACAGGGTGCTTATTTGCAGCCACCCCTTAGCTGCCCATAAAATCTATGCTAACACTTATCAAAGTGTATGTAACTGCTAGTGTAAAGCAGGAGCTTTTAGGAGTTTCTTTTCAATGACTACACTGGGAACTACATCAAACAGCACATGTTTAAACCAACACTAAAATTATAGTCTTCAGTACAATAGCTTTTGCACATTTACTTCAACATAACCTGGACTGTTTGAAGGCACATTGTGAAGAACTGAGACAACTCTCCTCATCACAGAGATGAAGAATGGTTTTAGAAGTTTCAACTATTTCATCCCACAGAGTAGGGATTTCTCTTGTTACAGAATACTGTCTTGGCACACTCTTAGGAGAAGTCCACATTCAAGTAGCCCTTTATTTATATGGTTGCCTGCTAGATGCCATTTAATGAAATAAGAACTATAACTTGGTTATTTGGAACTAGCTTCCTGCCACTATAACAGACACGGAGACTACATGTTTGGAGCACAAGTATTGCAGTTAAAACATTCAAACACAAATGAGGTGGTGCTTCAAAAAATGGTGAATGCCCTTATGCTTAAGAATGGACTCTGGAGAAGCACATCAGGTTGTTTACCACTGCAACTTGGCCAGTCTTACAACGGTGTCAACACTTAAAGCCTGATTCTTTGTTCTAATAATTACAAAGAACTCTTACCTCCAGGATCATAGCAAAACATGTTTTCTATTTCAAGGAAGGGTTCTTCAAGTATCACATCCTGGCTCTCTAATCCAGCAGCCTTTTCAGCAACCTTAACAAGAGAAAGATATTACTTGAGCTAATCTGTTTTTTTTAAATGCAGTATCCTTTTTGTCCATAAAGCTGCCCAGCACAGAGAAGACAAGAACACTTGAAGAATACAGTCCTCAGTTACATCTAAATTTTAACACCTTCAATGCAAGGTAGCTGAAGCATTTGCCCTTATGCTGCTTAGCTTTTCTAACTGTACTTTATGCACTGGCAACAAATCCCTGCTGTACAGCATTTAGGCTCATTATATTAAAGTCCTGCTAACCAGAACATGAACAAGACAGTAACTCAGCCAATATTTTCTCTAGAGCCACTTCTTTACTTTTATATATTCACAAAGTTGTTGCATGCCTTGTATCTATGTAGGTAAGCCCTACACCCTTTCCTTCCCTCCCATCCACCCTTGGTGGAAAGGCAGTTGTACTTACTTTCTTTGCAGTGCAAGGCTGATTTTCCTGTCTCATCTGCTCTTTCTTGTTTGTGACTCCTACAGTCCTATTCACGTCTCCAAGAGCCTTTCTGACAGAGTGTGATGTGGCTGGAGATGCTTTAATTGCTTTTTTAGGAAGCGGTGTAGTGACTTGAGTTCTTTCAGATAAGACTTTTGCTGGAGTGGAAGAAGAGAACAAGCTTTAGCACCATGTCAACCCTAAAGCCTGCTTCATTAGGTGCACATTAGAAAGCAAGTTGTCATTCTCTACTTATAATTCAGAAGCATAAGCCCTCTCTGTGACAGAGAAGTGATTTTCACTTTCATAACAACTGATAAGCTTAGTTTTATTTTTGTACCTAATTCAGCAATTTTGCTCTCTGTTCAAATCAGTGAATAATGAAACACAATTCATGCACCTTACTCTGTTCCCCACTACTTTAGCAGGGCATATACGCACATGATCCTGAAGGGTGTCTTAATTGATTCTTAGCAGCACCAACTTCACCATTCTCCTTATCTAAGAAGATGAGAGTTGTCATCTTCAGGCTGGTGAGACCACTCTAGAAAGATACAGAGAAAAAGAAGAAATCAGTTCTTATCATTTATTTCAGCACAGCACAGTTTTTAAACAGCACTACAGGCAGAGCTGGTTCTGAGAAGTGGAAGATGTGAAAGTCATCTGGCTTTTGTCATAGACAATACTAAGGTTTCTGAGTGGAGAACAACATGCTTCAAGTCATAATAGCTTGACTACATGCTTATATCTGAAGGTATCCATGCACATGGCAAGCTCACAGCCCCCTAGGAGGGCACAGGGATTTGAGAAAGTTGCAAGGTTTCCCTAGGAATCTTACACAGCAAGGCCCTGTATCTCCGGGCCACTGCATGACTTTTCTATGGTGTTTATTGCTGCTTACTCCACAAAGGAAAGCAACACCATGAGGGCAGCGAGGCCCTGGCACGGGCTGCCCAGAGAAGCTGCTGGTGGCCCATCCCTGGAAGTGCTCAAAGCCAGGCTGGATGGGGCCCTGACCAACCCGAGCTGGTAGAAGGTGACCCTGTCCGTGGGGGAGCACCCGGCGCTACCTCTCCGCCACGGTCCCGCCACGGCCCCCCCTCACCTCCAGCAACGGCACGAGCCCTAAGGCACCGCCCTCCCGCTGCCAGCTCTTAAATCGCCCCCGCCTCTCCCATTGGCTGCTTTGACCAACGCTCAGGCACTCGATTAGCTCAGCAGCGCCAGTGGGCGGGCCAGAACCGGGCAGGGGCGGCCCCGCCCCCGACGCCGCGGCGTTGCTGCGGTACCGGCGTGAGGCCGCCGCGGGGGGCGGGGCCTTCAAGGGGCGGGGCTCGAGGAGGAGCCGCGGTGCATGGTGGGGTGGCGGCGCGGTGCCGCGGGGTAGCCGGGAGACGGGCGGCAGGGAGGGCCGGGGGAGGCGGGGTCACGGCGTGGCTGCGTCACCGCTCCGTCACCGCTCCGTCACCGCTCCGTCACCGCTCCGTCACCGCTCCGTCACCGCTCCGTCACCGCGGCCTTGCGGAGGGACGCGCGCCGCCGCTGAAGGAGGGGAAGGGTAGAAAAACAACAAAGTAAAGCTGCGCGAGGCGTGCTGCACAGCGGCGTCGGGCCGGCTCCGTGCGGGGGTCTCGGTTGGAGGCAGACAAAATGGCGGCTGGGGCGGCCGCCGGCGGCGCTGCCGCGGGGGGCCCGGGCGAGGTGGGCCTGGAGGAGCCCAAGAAGATGACGAGGGAAGACTGGAGGAAGAAGAAGGAGCTGGAGGAACAGAGAAAGCTGGGAAACGCGCCTGCTGAAGTGGACGAAGAAGGGAAGTAAGTCTCGTTAGCGTGCTGGCTACAGGCACAGGTCAGCAGGCCTGCTGCCCGTGGCACTGCGGGGTTCGGAGGGGCGCAGGACGCGCTGCGGAAGGAAACTGCGCAGTTTCATGAATTTGCTTTGAACGTTCCGGTCTGTCTCGGAAAACAGGCGATTCTGCTTCCAGAACAAAGTGTTCATCTGAGCTGTTGGGGTGTTAGCCCAATAAATCACTGTTTACCTGATCTGTTGGGGAGATGCGAACACCGACAAGGAGTGTTTTACAAGGGGTGCACACAAAGTACTGGAGGACTTTACAGTTTGTTTATTCCTTTTCTCTGTTGCATCTACAAGGCTCCTGCTCACCATCCTATGGCCTCTGGAAAGAGAAGCATTAATATTCTTGTGCTCAGTAACTGTAGAAGGAAGTATTTAGTTTGGAGTCAGGAGTTTAGGTGAATTAATGGTAACAAAATCTCAAAAAAGTCTGTTTACATACTTAAGATGACCTTACTTCTTTGGAATGCATTATAGCTTCAGTGATTATTATCACTTTTAAAGCATTGAACTTAATGTAAAAGTTATTTGTTAAGCTAAATCGCGAGTTTGTTTTTTTCTTTTCCTGTCCCACGTATTTATTTCGTGATATCTTTTACAGAGATATCAATCCTCATATTCCTCAGTACATTTCCTCAGTGCCATGGTACATAGATCCTTCTAAAAGGCCTACACTAAAGCACCAGAGACCCCAGCCAGAGAAGCAGAAACAGTACAGCTCTTCTGGAGATTGGTACAAACGAGGAGTTCAAGAGGTGTGCAAGATGTTTTTGTCCTAAAATAAAGGTTTTCTTTGAGGAAATAAGAGTTATTGACATCCTGCAATTTCTGGGTCTGTGTTTTTGGGGGGGGACAAGAGCTGGGAATTTGTATTCAGCAGGTATGTCCCTGTGTTTGGTGATAACCAAAATAAGCATTTGGGGTTTGGCTAGAGCATATGTGCTTTAGTGGTATTGAAAAAAATGAATTAGTTGATGGAAACACATACACGAATGTTGCCACAATTTTGTACAATGATTGTCTTTTCTGTTGTTTAGCATGCAGTAGCTACCCGATATCGTAAAGGCGCTTGTGAGAACTGTGGTGCATTGACACACAAAAAGAAAGACTGCATGGAGGTAAACTTGACCATTGTTGATGTTCTAATGGCTTTGAAAACAACACGAGTTCTAATCTTAAATTTAGCTAGCTATTTTTCATTAAAAACTACTATTTTGAAAAAGTTACTTTGAAAAAGGTTACAAGTATCAAAATTCTGTTTGAAAGATTCTGAAACAGTAGTTATGTAGGAGACACAAGAGAAAAGTGAAGAAAAAAAGCTACTGTTCAGGGTGGTGTTTATCAATTCTGTTTGTGATAAGCACTAAAGTAAAAGGTTGGCTTTTAGTTCTTCATGTTAATTTAACTCAGATGCTGCTGTGGCTGTCTGTTTCATGTCAGCTAGAAGCAGTCCCCAGAAGCTATTTTAATCACTTCTTTAACTGTTGAAAATTGAGTCAGTAATTGATACTTTTGAGTCAGTTGTATTACTTTAAAATACAGAATTGAACTTCTCATGTTTACTTAGAATTTGGAGGCTTATTGTGTTGAATTTAACTGGCTTTAGAAGAGCTCCATTGATACTGTTTTTAAAGCTGTGTGTCTTAGCAAGTAGCATATTCCAATCTAAATGACCAATGCATTTATTTATTTTTTTCAGAGACCCAGGAAAGTTGGAGCAAAATACACAGGCATGAATATTGCGCCAGATGAACATGTGCAACCTGAACTGATGTTTGATTACGATGGAAAGCGAGATCGTTGGAATGGATATAACCCAGAAGAGCACATGAAGATTGTAGAGGAATATGCCAAGGTTGATCTGGTGCGTAGGCATTATAGTTTACTGGGAAAAGTTCAGCGTTTGGCTTCACTAGGTGGAGGAGTGCTTGCTACTTGCACTGTTAATGTTGGACCTTGTGGGGTATTCATAATGGAAAGCGGGGTGGATTCTGTGTTTGATAGCAAACTTCACTTGAACTGAAAGTTGAAACCAGAACAGACAACTGAGTATGGGTCTGCAATAAATGAAGTGTCTCTCCAGATTGCTTACTTTTTACTAGACAAGCTCTAGAGTTTATTGACCAAGATGAACGTTAAATTGCAGGCAAGAAAGGAATTTCTAAGGTGGCTTTACTACCTAGAGTCAATAAAGCTGTATTTGTAAGCTCATTCATATTTTTGTTACTTAGGAATCCTTTATCTTCCCATTGTGGAGCAGGGAACTAGTTGTACGTGTCTCTGTGGTTCAGTGATGTCAAATACATGTAAAAAAATCACTTCATTCTGCTTTAAAATGTCATGTTAGATGATAAAATTTGATGGTTCCTGTGTGAAACATAAATGCTTGCAGCATCTGTCATGAACTACCTTATACACTGATGTTCCTAACTAGATTATGAGGACACAATAATAAAGCATATTTGTTTTTTAAAAACTACTGAACTAAAATAAGCTGTGTTTTCTTTAATTACGATGGACGTAGTAATGGTATAGCTGCATAAGCTCTGGTGAATCGGTTTATTTACCCATGTAATATAACAGTAAAATGGTTAGTATATATAGTTTCCTTGAGGCTCTAAAAGCACTGTGGTTAAGCATAGGTGTAGAGGAGACTATCTCTAGGCTCTGTTTTTTATTTTTTTTTTATACGAGCACCCAAAGAATTAAATGTCCATTTTCTTATAATAGTGAATAGATTTTAAATGGCAGCGATCACAAGAAATTCTTATGATGTTACTATATACTTGCTATTAAAAGGCAATATTAAAATAAATGCATTTGTGTGATATGCAGGCCAAACGTACACTGAAAGCACAGAAGCTTCAGGAGGAGTTAGCATCAGGAAAGCTGGAGCAAGTGGTAAGTAAATCAAACTCCTAATTTATTTTTGTTTAGGCTGAGTGAATATAGAACAGGTTACTTCTCTGATGCTTTTATTCTCTGTACTTGTTTTTCTACTGCTTTTTATACTCTTCAGTAATTGAAAGCTCTTCCCAGCACCAGCTTATTTTGTGACACATACAAGAATTCAGAATACTTTCTTCTAAATGACAGTACTTCCCTTTTGGGCAAAAAATGTTTGATTATTAATCTTCTAAAATTAATTATGTGGAATTTTGGATTAGAAAGCTTGTTTTCCATGGAATTCAGTTCACATAGAGACATGTTTTAAGTATTTAAGGACTGTTTTGTCTGACTGATGTTGGAGCACTGATTATTATGCAGATTTAGTAATGCTTAGTATAAATAGGAATGCGAAGGTATTTTCTTTATCTTAAACCCAAACTTTTTCTTCTTCAGTCATTGCTTTGACTACTTGTAGTGTGTCTGATTATTTGAAGGCTGAATATACGTATCTACTTCCCTCTGGCATGTAACTGAAGAGTATGCATCTTCTGTTAACTTCTACAAGCTCCCCTTAGATTATAGGCACCACTTTTGATGATCATTGATACAAAATTCAGATTTTTAAAGTAATTTATGATATTTTAAGTTTATAAAATGGTGAAAAAGCAGAGATCGTTACTGGACAAAAGTATTTTTTTAAGTGGTATTCTTAAAAATATATATATTTAAAACCACCATCAACCAATAGACTGCATATGATTGGGTCTCCATTTTCCATGATTATCACCTTTCATTTAGTCACTAGATGGCAGAATGACCTAAATTTCTGACCCAACACAAAATACGGACTACTGATCTTATGGGTATAAAAGTGTTTTTTGTTTGTTTTTGATGCCTGTATTCACCACAAACATTTTTAGCTTCCATATACTTTTTTTTTTTTTTTTTTGGATGGTTCTGCCATGGCAATTACTCTCAGGTTAAGGGCTAAACAGGTTAATGAAAAATCTGGCTGTGTTTCACTAGATTACCAAGCATGAATCAGAAGCCATAATTTATTCCTGTCAGTCCTAACAAAATAGTTGCATACATATCTCTTTAATACAGATTTTTTTAAGGTTTTAGAGGTGGATCTTAGTTACATTTACATGATAAGAAATATCTTAGTCTAAATCATTAGTGTTCAGAGATGTAACAAGCTTTAGATCACAGTGACAGTTCAAAGCCTTTACAAGAAAAGTAAATTCTAGAAATTTGGTTTGTAATCCAGTGAAAAGGTCTCCAGCTTGTGTCTGTAATAGTGATACTTACCAACTCTATTTTAGAACATCCAAAATGTAGTGATCTTTGTGCGTTGTGTGCATTGTATTTTCGCAACCAGCCTCAAAGCTCTGCTTTGATTGGTCTTTATCTCCCTGCCGTTTTTCTTCTCTGCGCTATCTTGTCTTCTCTTCTTCTCTGCTGATGTGCTCTTTGTTTGCTGCAGAACTCCCCAAGACACCAGTGGGGAGAAGAGGAACCAAATTCCCAGACAGTAAGATGATTACCCATTGCATCACACCATGGGCAGGAAAAAAAAGACCCATAGTTAGTGGAATAGCAAAACAAGGGTGGCATAAGGGTTTCAATGTTGGGTTCATGCCACTGGTTGCCTGTTCCCTTTTGGAAGAGGTTGTTGGATTTCATTGAGGGTTTTTTAAGTCACACGTGTTGTCAAACCTTAGAGGTGCAAGCAAGTAACATTGTTATTTGCATGGTATATTTTGCCCAAGATAACTATTGTTTTAATATTGTCACAGTGACATTTTTGTAACTGGAGGAAATGGAAGTCCCTTAATCAGTATTTCTGAAATGCTGAGTGTATCTACATGGTAGATTTGCATGTTTAGGTCCATTTTTTAATGAAACCACTATAATCAGATTATTGTACTTGTCTCTGAGAAGTTTTCTGTTTCTCTCCTCAGGAAAGAGATCGTAACAGTGAAGATGAAGATGAAGATAAATATGCAGATGACATTGATATGCCTGGGCAGAACTTTGACTCTAAAAGACGCATCACAGTCCGAAATTTACGTATTCGGGAAGATATTGCAAAAGTGAGTAAAGAACTTAATTTTTTCCTTTTATATTTATATTAATTAATTTTAAAATTCATACCCTCAATTATTAGTGTGTTTGAGTATGGGTCTCAGGGTTTAGAGGTTAAAGTCTGTCCACAGTTCTCTTCCTGCTCCTGTTATAACTTCTTCAAGGTCTATCTCTTGCACAGATATTCCCTTATTTTAAAATTTCTAAGTTGGGGGATACAGCAGTAATTTCAATTCTTTAAAAATCATAAGTTTTAATCAAATATCTTTTATGTTGTATGTGCTTTTTTTCCTCCTAGTACCTAAGGAATCTAGATCCAAACTCTGCTTATTATGATCCCAAAACAAGAGCGATGAGAGAGAACCCATATGCCAATACAGGCAAGAATCCAGATGAGTAAGTTAAAACAGGGTCATGCTTGTGTACCAAACAAAACTCTTAAAAATGAGACTGCTCTAAAAGTTTTGTCTTTTATTTCATATCTGTGTGTCTTTTTATTAATGAATCCCTAGTCAGTTATGGATAGAAGAGTCTTTCAATAATGCTTTATAGTAAACATGGAAAAAATGTTTTATTTATTAACACATTTTTGTTTTTAATATATAAAAGTAGTGTGTTAGTGATAGTGGACTTTAATCCTCAGGGATGCAGGAACTACCATTCTGTGTACTAATCTGATGTAGATCAAGGATTAGAACACTGTTGTAAGTAGAAGAGATATCGGTGAACAGTAACGTTATACACATAAAGTATTTTCAGTAATGGATCTAAAATTTCAACCCTTTTTTTGTTGGGAGGCATTCAGCCCTGGAGACTATCCTGGAGTATCTATGGTATCTGACTAAATGCCTGAACTAGGATCAAAAGCTCCCTGTGTATTAATGGAGTCTGCACAGAAAAAGTCTGAAAACTTTGGCATTGTCTAGATAGACAATTACGGAATGCCACAGGTAGGCTTTGGGTTGCACATAAGGCTGTCTTACTTAAAACCCAAGTCAAGCACTTGAGCTGTGACCCTTCCTTGACCCGTGTTGCTCTGTGGACATACAGAGTAGACAGGCTGTGAGTAGAAATGTTATTCAGGGTACTGTAATTGGATTAGCTTCCTGCCTGAAATAGAATGGCAGTGGCTAACTGCTAGCAAATAATGCTCTTTCCACCTCTCCCTGTCTCCAGCAAGAATAATGACAGTCAATTTTATTTTCAGATTAAGATGCATTAATTTCTCTCTGGAGTTGTAATTTGACCTTTGTTCAGTCTGTGTTTCTGCAACAGCATTGCAGACTAAGCTTTTCAGAGGGGCTTTGGGAGATGAAAACAGTAGGAAACTGAATTGTCAACATTATTTCATTTTCAGCCTGTGTTCCATCTGCTCTTTTTCAGCCTCTACAAGGGGTGTGCAAAAGGTAACAGGGCAGTAAAATTATTTCCTAGCTTGAAATTGGCTGAGCAGAAGGAGAGATTCACAAATCCAAAAGCAGAGGTCAGTGGTACAGTATCATGTACTGCTTGTGCAATTACTGTGCAATTAGGCCCAGGCCTGACTCACGGTATCCCAGACAGCTCCAAGACTGTAGCATGAGTACTCTAAAGTGCTGTCTAATACTGTCATGACTGTATTGTGAGTCTAGACTTTAATTTCATGTATTGAATGAATGCTTCTCTCCCTCCGTTGGTAACTCAGGACATAAAGGAAAATTTTTACTTCCTGTTGGTGTTACGTGATTTGATTAAAAGAAAATCATGTTATCTGCATGCTGAAAATAATATCATTCTTTCCTGCAGGGTTGGTTATGCAGGTGATAACTTCGTTCGTTACACTGGAGATACCATTTCAATGGCACAGACTCAGTGTAAGTGTTTATTTTTCTGTGGTTTCATGGGGTTTGTTTTTTTTGTTCTGTTTTCAAAAAATGGATTTTAAAGACTTAAGTTAGCAACACTTTTTTTTCAAAAGAGAAATCTTTCTAGATTTAAATTGAGTCTTTCTTTCAAACTATTAGAAAATTAAAGATAATAATGTGAATATATTTTGAGAAAAAACATTGATGCTTCCTGTTAACACAGTGTTTGCTTGGGAGGCTTATGACAAAGGCTCAGAAGTGCATCTTCAGGCGGACCCTACAAAATTAGAGCTACTCTATAAATCCTTCAAAGTGAAAAAAGAAGATTTCAAGGCGCAGCAGAAAGAAAGCATCTTAGAGAAGGTAATAGATGTTTGGTTTTATTTAATAAGAATTCTGCCAAGTTTGAATTCTGGTTCTTAGGGAACAAATACATACTGCTACTACAATGTGAAAATGCATCAGCTGTTCTATATATATACAATATTATATGCAATACAATAAAGCATGTATAATCTCATCTATTAGATTCATTATATTATTTAATGTAGGAACCTTTGAAGATCTGCTAGTATTTCTTTGGATGACTGGGAGCTCTTCCTTTAACTGTCAGAATATCTCTAGTGAAAAATCTGACACTAGTAGGAATCCAAACCTTAGATGCAAGTTTGACAGGGGGAGGAACGTACTGCACTGGTTATACCAAGGTTGTATTTTTCCACATTTTGGTTTGGTCTGAAAAGATTTCCTGCTTAGAAATAATCTCTAAAGTAAGAATTATTACTGGTGTAATTTTCCAGGTATAGAAGAAAACATCAGTGGCCGTGGGAGGATACATAGTTCTCCTAGTTATTCACTAAAGATTTAATTGTCTCTACCCACTTTTGTGTTGCATTTTGTTCTAGAGGTGTGGACAGAGAAGGCACCAAAGACGAAATTTTTTAAATGTGTGCTTAACTACATAGACTTTTTTTTTTGCTAAACTATCGTATGTCATTTCTTTTGCATTATAGTATGGAGGACAAGAACATCTAGATACCCCACCAGCTGAGTTGCTGTTAGCTCAAACAGAAGATTACGTGGAGTATTCTAGACATGGGACAGTTATCAAAGGACAAGAGAAAGCTATTGCATGCTCTAAATATGAAGAAGATGTGAAGATCAACAACCATACAGTAAGTCCTTACTTGAAGTAAATACACACACACACACACACACACATATATATATATATATAAATATCTTCCTTTGGAAGGGAACAAGGTGTAGTAGATGCAGTGCAATATAGCTAAAACACCAAGTAAATAAATTTCTCCTTCCCTAAATGTGACACACTCTTCTACTAAGGAGGAATTTTAATTTCTCATGATTGCAATGCGAATGAGGAGTTGTGATTTTTGTTTTGTTTTGTTTGTTTTTTTTGGAACCATACCTGTAAGACTAATGTAAAATTGCAAAAGTATTTCTCATAACTTCCCCTTACGGACTGTTTGAATAGGTTGCTCATTAGGAAATGATGTCAGGAATAATTTGCAGCCTGCTTCTTATGGGAGTATTATTATAGATGCAACTGCTGTGGTGTCTTTTCTTGCAGTGCATTTGGGGTTCATACTGGAAAGACGGCAAGTGGGGTTACAAATGCTGCCACTCGTTTGTGAAGTACTCATACTGTACAGGAGAAGCTGGGAAAGAAATTGCTGTAAGTATTGTCTTTTTTAATTACTTGAGTAGAGCTAGAAGGCATTCATCTGCATAAGCTTTAGGTGGTTTTGCTTTTTTTTTTTTTTTTTTTTAACTTGGCCTTCCCCTTTCAAATATGCTTTGTAAATGGATATCTTCTCCCTTTTCTGTTGCATAGAATACTGAAGCAAGCTTACTAGAAGAGCAACCTAGAGAGGAAGAACACGTGACAAAACCCAAAACACTGATGGAGGTCAGTTGTTTCCCTTTTTAAGGGAGCTATTTTTCTTCAGCATTTTATGTGACCCAAACATATGTATAACTACAAGATTATGCAAGTCATTCTAAGGAGTCTGAAAATCATCAAACTGAATTACTGTGTCACTTACACCTCTGTTCAAAACTGACCTCTCAAAAATCCCTACTGTTTACTAAATGTTATGATGGCTTGAAATTAGTTCATAGAATGGTAGAATATTGCTACTGCTTACTAGCTGAATCTTAACTGCTGCTTTTTTTCGGCTTTAAAGATCCACCAAGAGAAACAGAAAGAGAAGAAAAAGAAGAAACATAAGAAGAATTCTAATTCAGACAGCGAGGGTGAAGAGAAAAAGAAGCAAGAAAAACTTAAAAAGGTGTGCTATACTCCTGAGTGTTTCTGTTGCAAAAAGAACTTCAGATATGTTTTACAACATTAGTTTTATGAAACCTGTAACAGTTCTTGTGGAATTCTGTGGACTGTTCTTTGATGCTAATTTTGAGATGAAACAAATTTAAAGTGCTGTTAGATGTTCTAAAGTACATAGCTTTTACTCCCTATTTGTCAGGCAAACATGCAGTAAATAGTCTAGTTTTGGAAGACTTAGTTTGGAAGATACAGAAGACTTCTTTTCTAGTCGCCTATTACAGCAATAGGTATAAAGACACTGCAGAACACAGTAACTTGAGATCAAAGAACAAAGGCATTGTCAAAGCTTGACTTAGAACTTTTTATCCCATACTTGAGCCCAGTCTCATAGCTGATGCAGTAAGTCTGTCGACAATCTGTCTATTGACTGTTGCTGGATGGACCCTGTGCAAGCACAACATCCTGCCTTGGGTATGCAGGGGAAATTAATGTCAGACTGTGATTAATCAAAATATCGTAGAAGAATAATTTCTTTTCAATAGCAAGAAGGAGCAACAGTAGTAGTTTGAAAAATGGGATAATTTGTATTTCAAAAAAGCACATTTTCATTTTAAAATCACTCTGAAACGGGAACAAAACACAAAGATGACATGCTTTCTTATCTGCTTTTGTGCTTTATGGATCATGATTAAAACCCATGAGTTTCTTACTCGATTTTGGCAATTGGAAGGGCATTAAAGTATCTTGTTTGCAAAATGCTAATTTACTATCATATTATGCTAAATGTTCAAAAATAAGCATTAAATAGCACATGTGAAGTGTGCTGTAGGTGGGCATGATGTGCATTGTTTATCCCACTGTTCTGCCTGCTAATTGTTTGTTATACTAGAATATAATGTAAGCTTTTTGTTGTTGGTTTTGGGTTTGTTTACTTTTTTTTTTTTTTTAACTTTCTTTGCATCTCCCCCTTTCCCTCTTCCATTTCAGGCATTAAATGCAGAAGAGGCTCGTCTCCTCCAAGTTAAAGAAATTATGCAGTTAGATGAGAGAAAGAGACCATACAACAGTGTATATGAAACCAGAGAGCCAACAGAAGAGGAAATGGAAGCTTATAGAATGAAACGTCAGAGACCTGATGATCCCATGGCCTCTTTTCTTGGACAGTAGCCTTAGTGAAAATCATTCCAGTACACAGGATTTTTTTTCCATACTTGTTTACAAGTCTATAGACACCTTCCATGTGGCTAATAAATGCCAGAAATTTTCTTTGCAACACAGATATTGGTAAAAACTTCTTTCAGTAGATGTAAGCAGTCCAGTACTTGGAGCAATTTTGTATGTGTGTGTGTGTACGCACATAATTTATGACTGTGTGTGTATAGATACATATACGTGTGTGTGTACACAGAGATGATAAAGAATACATCCACTGTAAACTCTCGATTGGAAGAGAAATGATCTGATACTGGCTGTAATTCCAGAGATTCTGGATTCATTTGGCAGTGCATGAAGACTTAATAAATTCAGTAAAACTGAGTACCCAAAAGAAGTGATCGGCAGGTGTTGCCGTTAATATAAAGCAAAAATTGTTGAAGATAAATTTGTACACCTGAAGTCTAACTTTTATTTGTAAATGGACTTGCCTGTCACATGGCTTTAAAAGGAGAAATAGTTAATTTGATCGCTTTATAGTAAGAATTTTGGAAATGTAAAATTGATTGTACAGTTTTGGTTAAATTAATATAAAGGTCTCAAATGCTATAGAATCATAGAATCATAGAATATCCTGAGTTGGAAGGGACCCTTAAGGATCATCAAGTCCAACTCTTGACACCGCACAGGTCTACTCAAAAGTTCAGACCATGTGACTAAGTGCACAGTCCGATCTCTTCTTAAATTCAGACAGGCTCGGTGCAGTGACCACTTCCCTGGGGAGCCTGTTCCAGTGTGCAACCACCCTCTCTGTGAAGAACCCCCTCCTGATGTCAAGCCTAAATTTCCCCTGCCTCAGCTTAACCCCGTTCCCGCGGGTCCTGTCACTGAAGGCTAGAAGAAACTGTATAGAGCTTTCTAAATTCTGATTGTTTCTGCAGATGTTAACATATATATCAGGTGTGAAGATCTAAGTTTTTGGTTTTCTGTTTTAAAACAATATACATCTTACTTCTGCAACTTCCGGAATCTTGTTACATGGTGGAATGCTAAATGTTAGACTAATACCTTGTGATGTCATGCAGCATTTGCTATATGTTTAGCAGTATTCCTCCTTAAACTCGGAATTCTCCACTGTAGCTATTAAAAGATGAAAAAATGGGAGAAAAACTTGATGCCATAGCTTTAGAGGCAGAAGGATTGGCAATTTGTTCTACAGAAGCATAAACAGTCTCATTAAATGTGGCTTACATATAACCAAATTAAGTATGGTTATATTAATGGTAGGACAGGGAAAACTTTTCAATTCTAGCTCTTCTAATGAAGAACCTGATTATAATTTCAACTTTGTAAATAATGAATCATATTCTACAGTTAGTAGAAGCAAATTTAAAAAAAAAAAGTGTAGTATGTTTCAGCTAATCTCACCTGTAAGGCTGGTTTCTTTTTCTGAGCCATTTTTTTTCTCAAAATCTGCTTCTCCTTTATTTTTGTTACAGAATTCTGAATGCAGACTTTAAAATAAAGCTTAATTAACATAAAACTCCACGGTCAGATTAATCAATCTTATAAAACAAAGTACTTCTAGCACTTACTGAAGAAATATACCAAACTAGAGACACTGAGGATCTTCATTCAAGGTGGAATTGTTAATATAGCCAAGTACTAGAAAGGAAAAACTTCAGAGTGGAAATTAGTTTTTCCAGGGGTTGCTTTTATATTATCACAAAAAACATGGACTTAGAAAGTCACAGGGAAAACTATTAGGGACATTATTTCCCTTCTGCTATACTAGTGACTCAATTTCTGAGTTTCCATGTTGGCTCATGTCTTGACCTTTCTACATTATGGATGATTTCAAAGCGCATATTACTCTTCTTTTTTCCACAGGGAATTATGTACAGTAAGTGCAAATTTAAATGTCTTGCCATGTTTTTGATTTCACAGCCACCTTTAGAGGATTGAGTATTTTAATTTAGTATACAGAAATGCTAAAATGCTAGCGGAAATTTTGTGTTAGTCTGCAATGCAGCTCTATATTAAAAGTTCTCTGATATTGTTGCTGATGATAAAAATTCTTCTGCTATGATCTGAATGCAAATTGACATTGAATGATTTTTCTGAATTAGTTGGTTTGAACTGTAAACTCTTCTGAGGCCTGTAATGTTTGAAGTACTGGACAGCAATACCTCTAGGTGCCCAGATACCTATGGCTGTTTCAGAGTCATGTTCAATTTGGGGGACAAAGATGTATCAAAAGGGTCCATGTCACCAGTTACTTCAGCCATTTGGATACCTCTCTAAAAGTAGCTAGAGATTTGATCCTTTATAATGGAGGTAATTCAGAATGAAGAAAACATAAGTCACTGGTCTAGGCAGCCTTTAAACTTGTGGTTAATGCGTATATATTTTATGGACGTGGGGAAAAAGAGGAGAGTTATAGGCACGTGTATTTTAGAGGCTGATGTAACATGCTAGATGCTCTAGGACCATGCATTTATCAGAAAAATTAACCAAATCCTAACCACTTGTGTGTTTGGTTTATCTTTTCAGTACTTGAAGACATGACAGTAACTTGCTTTTCAGTATGCCTTGTCTTGCCCTGCCAAGAGAGAAGCTGCAGGGAAGAGGGACCAGTAGCCTCTATTTTACAGCAGTTCCAGGGAAAAAAGCAGTAGCATCTTACTCAAAATACGTGAATCATACAAAGTAGATCTCTTCTGGATCAGTCTGCACAGTTAAAGGACAAAAAGATTAGACTGTGTTATTCTATTTATATGATAGAGGTTACATGTTAAAGAACATTGTGGATCTAATCATGAGGATTAATCTTTCCTCCATCTGCTTCCCCTTGGATTTGGCATGCAATATGACTGCATATTCAATGATTGCTTCCTATTGCACAAGCTGATTTTTTTTTTTTTTTCTAAAATGAGTTTGAAACAAGTTTTTCGATGAGCTTGGCCTGAACCTAAACTGAAAATGAGCCTACTGTAGTGGAGACAACAGGAATTAGAACTACTGTGTCTTCCACGCACATAGAAGTGAGAGGAAATTCTGTAGCCTGTTAGTCAAATTCTCCCAACACAAAACAGACCCACCCAGCACACTCAGGGCAGCTTTCTCTGAATCTCGCCTTTGGCAAAGCTCAATGTTTATTTTCCCCAACTCCCAATTGTTTTCAACAATCGCTTCAGTTACTTCATTTCTTACCCTGTTGAATTCTGATTGTCTGAGGTGTACTCGATCTGCGAACTGTGAATAAGATTAGATTTGAAGATGTTCATGTTTTTAGCACACAAGTTAAAGGAGAATCCTTTATTTTTTTCTTGGAAAGTTTAGCATCCTGTGTTATCTTCCAAAGCCTTTGAGGCACACCAGAAGGTAGCTCTTTTGCTCTCTCCATGTTTCTTTGTAATTGGATCTTTATGGCTTCCCTGCGTGGGTTAATGAAAGAGATGTGCTGTTCTACATGCGCAGTTGTTAAGGGATAAGAAAAAAGCAGGAATGGTAGCACTACTTACAAATGAAATTGAACTTGTCCTTTACCTTGCACAGCATTTTCTGTGCCCACTAAACCACTGTATGTGCCCGGTCCCCCCCAATAGCTGCAGTTTTCCATGCCATTTTTAGGTATAACTTTAATTACTCCATGCAGAACAAAGCAATACGTCCAGGCAACTCCTCGTTGTACTTATTCTCCTGTCGGCATTAGCTGTGGTGGACGCACCAAAGAAATAGAAATATCATTCTAATTTAAACTGGTTGTTTTACATAAAACAAGTTTGTTCACATCTCAGATGACCCAACCAGACACAGCAGGCAGTGATGGGTTTGCATCTGCAAAATACTAGCACATTTTAGGCCTCAGTGGAACATGAAAAAATAATCTAAGGAAACTGCTCCATGGACAAATAAGCAAACCCAAAATTTCCTAGCAGCAGTCTTAAAAGGATATTCCAGTAATTCCAACAGATTTTCGAAAAGGCACCACCACCCAACCACTCACTGCAGCGGGATCTAAGTGCAGTCCTTGGCCCGTTGCCCTGTCTTCCACCACAGCTTATAAGAGTGGGACTTTTTTCCAGCTGCTTTTCCTTCCTTATCACATTTGCACATGCATTTGTTCCAGGCTTTTAATGTAAAGCCAACAACTACAACTTTTGCTCCAACAACACCTCCCTCGCAGTTTTATCCCAGTATGGTGGTTTTACCGTGCTAGGCAGCTGAACTCCACCACAACCACTCTCTCACTCCCCCTCCTTAAAAGAGGAAGGGAAGAAGTAAAGGAAAAAACAACTCATGGGTTGAGATAAGGATAATTTAGTTAAAGGGAAAAATAATTATTATGGAAATATTATTATTAATTAAACAATTTAACTAAAGGGAAAAAGGGAAATGGGAAAAGAGGGGAAAATGAAAAAAAAAAAAAAAAAACCACAACAACAACAAACAAAAAAGCAAAGGCTGTGTGGAAGTACAGAGGAAATAAATTGCTCTCTACTTCCCACAAATGGGCAATGCTTGACCACATCCTTGAAGCAGCGCCTGAACACACGTAGCTGGTGTTTGGGAGGACAGACATTTTTGCAATGAGAGCCCACCCCTCCCCTCTGCTTCCTTTTTCCACCTCTTATTGCTGAGTGTGACATCATATAGTATGGAATATCCATTTGGTTGGTTTAGGTCAGCTGCCCTGGTGATGTTCCTTACTCACTTTTTTACCAACCCCTTAAGAGGGTTAGAGAGAGTCCCGATGCTGTGCCAGCACTGCTCAGCAGCAGACACAACCCTGGTGTGATACCACTGCTGTTCTAGCTACAAGTGCAGAGCACAGCACTGTATGGGCTGCTGCGGGGAAAGTTAACATACCAGCCAGACCCAGTACACCCAGGGCTGCTTTTCATCCAAAAGCTGCTACAAAACATGCTAACACCATAATGCGCACCCACTGTAACACACACCCAGCCTGGCTCCCTTCAGCTCAGGCTGCAGCATACCCATACACTTTGAGGCATTTCCCATCCCAAGCACTTGTCCTGGTTCTGCACACCATGGCTGGGAAAGGGGAGGGAGAGGGCGGTGGTTCAGCTGCCTGCTGGCTTGGCTTGGCTGCCCCTCCTTGCTTTAAGAGAGCCGCATGCTGGGCATCTGCAGAAGCAAAAGCACCTGGCTGCAGCTTTCAAGGCCAGAGACAGCACAGCCCCACAGCACGTTCTGCTGATACACTGGTGTTTTCTCAATATTTTAGGAATTGGGGGAAGTCCGTTTTTAGCAAATTATTGTCTGAGAACACAAAAGGCAGCTCTAATGCAAAATTGGAAAGCACCAGAGGGAGAGGGGATTTGTCTGTAGCTATCTGTGCAGCCTGTCACTGCTCACAGGAGACATTTTTCCCGTCTCTGGGGGATGGAGCTTTGCCCTGAAGACAGAGGTACTGTGCTGTGGCACAGGTGGCACTCGGCACTGGCTTTCCTGGCCTGAACAATGCTGCCCTCGTCCCCAGGTGCTGGGATTGCTGTTGGTGATGCTCAGCCCCCAGCAGTGGGGCTGGAGATGTAGCCAACCTCAGGTCTGGCCCCCAAGGGACCCCCTAAAAAGGACCCTACACCTTTATGGAGAATCTGCAAGGTTTCTGGACCAACTCTGGCTTTCGGGCATTGTTTCTTGCCCATGTCTGTACCTGGCTGGCAGTTCAAGGAGCTCATTTTGCTTTTTGCCCACTCTACTACATAAGTCATTTGCTATCCACCTCTTCTCTGGGCTGCTGATGGTCACTGGCTCTGTTTAACCTGATCCTGGAGAAACCAAAGTCACTGCATTTCCCTGTCACTCAGCTTCCTGTCTATAAAATTTGTCTCCTAGAGAACTCTATAATTTTCCATGCTTTTTGTTTTTCTTTTTTAAGCCTTCTTGGGAAATACAAGGCATTTTCAGAAGAGTCTTTTCTTGGCTAAATAAGTGATCAGATAACTCAGATTCAGCGAGTCAAAGAGAATGTGGAATTTCACTTTGAACTAGAAGATGCATGAGACAAAAGAAACAGATTTAAAAAAAAAAAAAAAAAAAAAACATCTGCAGTGTGCTGGCAGTGGCTCACTGGTGTGTTTGGGCTGGTTCCCATTTCCCTCTTCCCAAAATAAGTCCTATTTATTTTTATCTTAATGGGTTAGGGCTGCAGTTCCTAAGCAGAGCTAATCGTCTCCAGGGTATCCTTGAAGTTTAAACAGATATTTGACTCATTTTATGGGGGCTTTTGGAGAGGGACAATCACTCTCTGAAGGCTGCTCAGAGACTTACAAGCTCCTTTCAGGCAGTGCAATAAAAATTATCCAAATCACCGTTCCATGCTAAGCCAGCAGACCTGTTGGGTAGAAAATACTTTTCCCTCCCCTTAGTATCTTCCAAACAGGGAAGAAAAAAAATCAAAGGACCGACACATCTTTGAAGAGAGGCATACTTGCATTGCTGTTTCCCATCTTCACCTTGAAGGCTGAATTTCAGGGTGTCTCAAGCCTCTGTGTTAACTGCAGCTATTTTTGCCTTTGCTGACTCATTTTATTTGGTTCCAAAGTCACTGCTGCAAGGTCAGTATCTGTAGGAGTGCAATGCAGCAGCACTCCTCAAAACAGCATGGGAAAAGCCTTTTTTGCTGAGACACAGTCCTGGCCTCTATCTCGGAAGGGAACCAGAAGTCACTCACATTTAGGTGCTTACATTTCCCACCCAAAATATGTTCACAGGAGATGGCAGAGCTTAAAACTTCAGTTTTTATTCCGCAGGGGCTGGGCAGCACGCCTTTCCCTGGCAGCAAGGCTTTGGTGCCAAGGAGGGAGCACCACGGATCCCAGCACCCCTCCGTGGCAGGGTCTGGAGCCCCAGTCCCACGTACATCCCACACCAGAGATGTGCAGAGGCAGGCAGCGAGCCCCGTTCCCTGTGCTAGACACCCACATCTGCCAGTCCACGCAGGGAGCCTGTCGTTAAGAAGCAGCACAAACATGACACCATCTCTTATAACGCTTCCCTGCAGTGTCCAGCTAACAAAAGCAGAGCCAAGGCCCACATGCCAGGGCTGCTGTGTTTCCCTGTGGACAGGCAGTGCATTTACTCCTCGAGGTGCTGCCAAGCACGTTCTGCAGCAGAGCCGCCTGAGGCCCGGGCTCAGTGTCGGCAGGCGCAGCATCCCCACGCAGCGTCCCCACACCACCGAAGCAGGTCAGGCCCTCGCTGACGCAAACCCCCAGCAGCTGTGGCTGCCTCAGTCCTACCTCGCATTTCCCAGCAGGGCTGTTGGGTTTCTCCACCTCGGTTCATTCCTGGTGCTGGGTGTGCTGATGGCTCCTCTGCACGTGGCTGCTCCTGCACCAGGGACTTCCCACTGCAAAGCCACTCAGCGTGGGAAAAGCTGGTCCTGTGTGTGGGGGAGAGAGCCCCACCAAGGAAAATATATTTATAATATTTGAATGTGCAACTCTGCTGTGCTGTCTGTTGGTGCCTGGGCTGCCAGCACATCATGGCAGCAGCCCCAGGCTCAGTGAGACATCCCCACCCCTCCAGGGTAGCCTCACTGACTGCAGCTCACCAAGCGAAGTGCAGGCACACTTTATTTTTATGTTATGTCTGTAGTGCATACATGCAGCTAAAACCTTTCTCACCGTGTTTCGAGAGCAAGTTCAGGGCAAAGCTTAAAAAAAAAAATAAGAAAAAGCAATCTCTGCTAAGGATGAATTCTGGCAGAAGAATGAGTGAAGCTTGTGGAGTACTTCAGAGGACTTGCACTGAGCAGAAAACATTCGCTGGCTGACCTCGCAGCCCAGCCGCCAGCACACGCCTGTCCCAGGCACTGGGCAGGGGCCTGCAGCCAGAAGCAGCAGTGGGACAGGACGGCCCCTGGGCACCGCTGCCCTCTTGGCACCGCTCGCTGGGCACCCCACAGTGGCCCAACGCCCATTTCAGGCACCACTTCCAGCATTGCTGCCTATCTTCAACAATTGGTAGGACTTTGTAATTACTCTGCAAGCTTAAAACAAAGCCCTCACCCTTTCCAAAGGCAGGAACAGTCCTGCCCCGATATCTTGGTGTCAAGGTCTCCACATCTTGTCTCCCACATCCACCGGGGGCACTTGTAAAGCATCTGCTGTGTCCTCTCAAAACCCACATTTACAAAGCTGCTGCTTCACAGTGATGTCTTTTACTTCAAGCCTGGAATGATCTGCCCCTTACTGATTTGTCTAAATTACTTTAGACACAACAAGTGAGCTTTCACCCTCAGCATAAGATCTGCTTCCCTTGCTAGTGCTCTAGGACCAAGCTTCTACATTACTCCCTGGTTCAGTCCCTGTACCCTTACAAATTCTGCCTGTATGGGTGGGCAGTGGCTATGGCAGAGAGGCAGAACATGCCAGAAATGGCCCAGGCAAACTCCTGAGCCTTCCTCACAGACTGCACAGGAGAGAGGCGAGAGGCTCCCCAGGCACTGAGAGCTTTCCAGCCGTGTGTGCATAAAGCTTTCTGCCCACACCACGTGACAGAGGAAGAGGCTTGGACCCATTACACAATAATAAAACTATGTCTTTGGCAAAGCGGAGCCAAAACCTAGATCTGCTGCAGGAAGCTAGTGATACACGCAAAACGGGGTAAAACATTAATAAAGACAAAAGACCCAAGAAGTGAGGACTGCAGAGCAATCTCAGAAGGACACTGTCGTGGCAGGACGGGCTCTGTGCTCTGCTGCGTGACAGCGATCTGCGGCAAAACATCTGCAAAACTGTGCAGGATTCCAGTGCCTGTCGAGATCTCGCTGAAGAGATCAGCCTGGGTGAGTAAATTCACTTTTGCTTTTTTTCTTTTCCCTCCTTTTCTTAACCTTAACTCGGGAAACTTACCAAATAAGGTCTAACTGATGAAGCACTCAGGTTTCCAATGCCTGCACAGGAATCCATAAAGACAGCAGCAGCAAGTTAAAAGAAACCATCTGGGAAGGAAACATTCCTCGGGTTTCCAGCAGGAGCACCCACCTCGCCCAGCCGAAACCACAGCCTCCCCCTTCACTCTGGTACCAGGCAGCAGCTGCTGCGCCACAGCTCTGTCCTGGGACTGGGGAAGGCTTGACTCAGGCACTGCAGCTGCTTTCAGCGGAGGAGGCGATGCCATTTTGGGTGCAGGAGATGCACTTTCCTTTATCTCCTTTGACATTACTTTGTGCAAAAAATCAAATTAATATCTGCTATAGCTACTCCATTGGCTTGTATCAGAAATTAAATGCATGTATTTCAGCTTTTGCTCCCCACGCAGAGGTGCATGGAACTGCTCAAGGTGGTTTCCCTGGCCAAAATCCACTGTGTGGCCACCATGCCTGGCAAACCCTTGGGGCTTTCCCTCTGGTGTGCTTTCAGCCCAGCCACCCCACAAGCACCAGGAGCTACAGCTGCTCCTTTGCACCTGGGGCTCACTCCTATGGGCAAAATTGTTTCTTGCAGATGCCCTTTTTGAATGCACATACATCCCCAGAAATAGCTCAGGTAATAGAAGTAGTCACATGGGGGCTTCCAGCAGGCACTCACAGCAGGGATGCTGCAGCAGCCAAAGGGGGACACGGCCAGAGATGTGTCCCCCAAGCTCCTTTCTGTGAGCCAACTCTAGCTGCTGCAAGCCAGCAATCAGGAGCAGGGGCTGCAAGGAGCCCTGTGGGGACAAAGCTCCTGGAAAGGGGGCTCCCAAGTGACAGAGATGCTCTGGGGACAAGCAGCTTGCAGAGAAAAGCCATTAGAGAGCAGTCCCCTTGCAGAAATGCTCCACGGGCCGCAGAAGCCTGACACATTTTCTATAGAGCTGTGCTCCAGCCTTAAGACTCACAAGTGAACACTTTCTAAAGCCATCTCCTTCCCAGTTTGCTTCTTCACAAACATTCCCCAAAATTATCCTGTGGGATTCCACAGCACTATTTTAGGGACTGCACTGGCCCCAGTGGATGCCCTGGGTGCCACAGCAGCAATTTCTGTGGTTTCAGCTGAAGGACACAGGGAATCCTCATACCTAAATCCCAGTTGATGGACACCTGTCACTCCACCTGCCTGTGCTGCATCCTTCCAGCTCAGGCTTCCCACATTCACAGTACATTTTGGAGCCTCTCTCAGAGCCCAGAGGCTGGCAGACAAATGACCCAGTTGGGATGAAGACCTGAGGCCTCAGCCTGGAGCCTGCATAGCATCTGGGAGCCCAGAGGGCTCTACCTCAGAACAGCTCAGCTCCACCATTTCCACCACATCCACCCCTGACTTGTCTCCAACTCAAGCAGCGCTCCACCACCAGCTCTCATAGCCTCCAGGGCATGGTGGGGGGTTGTGACCCACACACCATGTGTTTGTCATGGCCATTAAGTGTCCAAGACCCTATTACAAAAGGCATTAATTAAAATGTTACTATAACAGTAAGATCTCAGCTGAAACTGTGCTGCGTGGTCTTCAGTGCCAGGTCTACTGCTTGTGCCAAGGAGAGGAAAGATGCTGATCTGTTTCCAATTTGCTTCTTGGAGCTCATCATATGTTCTACATTGAAGAGCAATTTTCCTTTTAAGGTGGACCAGCACAGAGTTTGTTTTCTTTCGGAGGTTTCCTTAAAAGATTATTTATAGATTCTCTTGCGAATGTGACCATGCTCCCATGCCACACACACTCCTATGGTGTGGGATGAAGAGGTCTTGCAGAGACAAAAATTACTATTGACTCGGGAGTTGCAACAGAGCACTGCTCCAGGTAGCCAAATATTCCTCATCTGTTCAAGTATTGGTACTACAAACCTCTCAGCCTTGGGGTATTTTGTGGTTTATCCCATTGGGTTAACTACTGGGGTTGTTTGAGGGTAAACAAAAGTACTTGCGCTAAGAAAGGTTAAGAGAAGGTGCCCTGCCCTCTGCCTTGCGCTCACTCATACTCATTTGTGAAGCAGTCCCTCCTTTTTTTTCTCCCACCCCCTCAGTTATGCCCCACAACAAAATATCTCCTTGCCACAACTAATTAGAGTCATACATCTCCAAATGTCTCTCCCTTCTCTTCTGCCCCATTTGAGGTGGTTACTGGGAAGTGGGGATGGAGCTTCCCTTAGGAACTCCCTGCTCTGCAGGCATTTTAGCACTTTGATCCCCTTTCTGTGAGCAAGAAGTCTTTATTCAGCGGTCTGCATCAATACCGGTTTGTGGTTTGGGTCTCACAAGGCCATTAAACCAACACGTTACATCAGCAAATAAACTTGGGTATAAGAAAAGTGGAAGAGACCAGAACAGACCAGCTGAGTAGGCAGCCCCCGCCTGGAGATCTGTTCTGCATTTCCCACTCCTCTGCATGTTCCTAATTCCACATATTGCAGGACAGGGAGCTCCCACTCAGCATTAACGTGTTGCATATTGCTGGGTGGATTTGGAGCATGTAATGTGCATTTCCACCCCCTTCAGGAGCCGATAGCAGGAGAAAGTACTAAGGCAACATGCAATGCATACGGTGCTTTGAACACCTTCCCAGTGCCAGAGTTAAGCAGAACACGCTGGAGAGAAGCCAAAGCCTCCCACTGTTTGCCTTGACACCAAGCAGGACCCTGCCTGACCAAATGGCCCATGAGAGGTTTGGGATGTCACAGCTCATCTGTCTGCCACTTTTATGGTTAGCTGTAAATTTACTGCAGCACCAGAGTACAAAGAAATATATGAAAGGCAGTTTTCTTGCTTTGTAAGCCTTGCTTCTGTGTTTAGCTCACAGAACTTGAGGATGTGATAAGAAAGCCCACACAAGTGGATGGCTTTCAGAGCCTCCTACAGTACAGGGTGGCTGCAGTAAGGGACAGACTGCATTTCACAGGAGTCTTTGCCATCATATAAGCATGTGTACATCTTAGCTTGGGGAACAGGAGTGGTACCAAAGTGATATGTGGCTAACGCCTTTAAAACATTCCTCTGGCTTCATCTTGACTGATCACAGAGCTACCAAGCAAACAATGAACCAGCCAGAGTTGTAAGGGGCAGCTTTAGGCTTTCATTTCAAGGGCTACTGCAACTACAGAAACGCAGAGATTGCGTCAGGGGAAGCCTTTCACTCACCACCAGCTCGTTTCTACCCCGAGGCTACTGGAAAACAGCCCAGCTCCATCAGCCTCTGCCGCAGCCCCGTGGTCAGTGCCCACAGCTGTCACTTCCCTCCCTGGCAAAGGGAGGGGGAAAATCCTCAGCTGGGGCACCCCCAGCTGCACGGCATCCTTCAGAGCTGGGAAGGGAACAGCACAAGCACTGCACCCACGGGTAGACAGAAACTGATGACACAGAGGAAATCCTCTTTTAACTACAGCTGTAACCATGTGCAGAACCAACACAAATCCTAGTTTAAACTCTTCTTCTCTCAGCTGGCAGTGCACCTGAGTTCTGCTTCAAGATGCAGAGGGCTTACTCTGTGCACAGCTCCTTGCAAACAGCTCCACACACAGACATCCAGAGGGAGATTTTACTGTAGGATAACTGCTCTGCATCACCAATTCCATGGAAATAGCTGTATTCAGAAATCATTTCCTATCAGAACACCCTCCTCTCATCCATGAGTGGAGTCAGACAAGCCCAGGAGGCTCAGCACCATCCTGTGAATGAAGGCAGAGCCCAGGATGCTCCAAAAAATCCCCCTTCGTTATATTCTATACTTAAAACAATAGCTTATTTTTCAGAGAAGGGAAGGGCAAAGAGGAGGGGAATGGTAAAGGAGGAGAGCAGTGAAGGGGTTTGGGAAGGCTGTGGGAGAGGCCAGAGACATTTTGGACTCTGACCTTGTCTCAGTCCTTCCTTGCACATAGATAAACAGTCACAGACAGACTTCAGAGGGGAGCTGGAGCTGCCAGGTATATTAGCATGAGAAAGACGGGAGAGCAGGAAAAAGGATGGGTGGTCATGGATAGGAGTATAGAGAAGAGCAAGTTTAAAAAGGAAATATTGCTCAGATCTGGAAAATTCCCTGAGCAAAAGCCTTGAATTTGCATCCCTCCAAAACAAACAGCTTCCTTGCCCTGCCAAAAAACGTTCCATTTCTATGAGTCTCCACAACACGCAGTCCTGACAGAGGGGACACTGCCATGCCCTCACCCACTGCTCCCCGCACACCTCCGATCCCATCTCATTTCTGCAGGCTGTGCCATGATCTCTGCTGTCCTCCTCCTCTGGACCATGCCCTGCGTGGCAAACCACATCCTCGGGGGCTTTGCCAAGGCAGCGCTGCAGGAGGGTCCCCAGCTGGCATGCAGCCTGCCAGGCCCCCCCGGGCCTCCCGGGCCTCCCGGTGCTCCTGGTGCTCCAGGGACGGTTGGCAGGATGGGCTTCCCAGGGAAAGACGGCAAGGATGGCAAGGACGGGGACAAAGGCGAGCACGGTGATGAAGGTAAGAGGGAAGAAATTCTTTGTGAAATAAGAATAAAATATAAAAGCATCATCCCAAACACTGTGCCAAAACCTTCCAAAATATATATTTTTTGCTAATAGAGTCTTAATGCTGCATGTAATTCTTATCATCTTCATTTTAATATTGCACATTTTCCTCCGGAGGGAGATTTTCCCTGTTTTGACACACTCACCCTAGTCAAGAGACACTCTTGGACTAGTCTTAGATTGCTGCTTTCAAGGGAAACAAATTCAGAAGCAAAAATTTAGTCCTGGCTCCCTAGAGCACCCTAACTGGGTAGCAGACACTGCTCTTACCATGCTCCACCTAAATCAAAGCAAATGTCAACCCTAGTTTAATCCTGAGGTGGGATTCCTGTTTAACTTGGACCTTACTGAGGACCAGGACCAGCAGGACCAGCAGGAGTCAGATCCCGCTGATCTCCCACTGCCACCCCAGAGTGCCCTCCTGGTTCAGCAGAACACCACCATACCAATCTTCTCTTGATACCATCTTCTCTTCTCTCACCCCCAAAACAGACTCTGGAGAACAAGTTTCCAGCAGCAGCCACATTTAAATCTAGTTGCTACAGCAGGTCAAGAGACACAAAATAAATCCCTGTGTAATTTTCTTCTATCAGATACTACCACACTCAGGGCTCACCAGCCGTTTCACCACTGTGACAGAGCCCAACTTGCTCCCTATCTCAAGGCAGTCCCTGCACTAGGTGTCTTCTGGTTCATGACTGGTCCAGATCCCAGCTAAACTGGACATTTTTTCTACACCTAGAATCCATCTTTTACAACACAGTTTCGTGTTAAATGTAAAAAAATTAGGCAGAAGATTAAACATACCCATCTGCTCAAAGCTAGTTTCCAAAAGCTTCACAAACTCATCCAGCTCCTTCAAAACCCAAAGATTTAAAGCTTTTCCCCGGCTAGCTTTATAATTTATTACTCCTTTTTCTCAAGCGAGTCAGATAACTGAACCAGCCTTTTGGTCCTTAAAGAGGACAGGCTTTCCTGCTCCCAAGTCCTGTTATCATGCCAGCTACTTAATGTGGTTAATCAGTCCTGACACATCCTGCCCCAGGTGGTATTTCATCAGGATTCTCACTAGCAAGGTTTTCCTCCCAAATGAAAGCATACTGACGCATTGATATAATCCCTTTCCACTCGCCATATTTTAACTAAAAAGTTTACAAGGTTATTTGTCTTCTAGGTCCACAGGGCAGAACAGGAAACCCAGGCAAGCCAGGACCAAAGGGGAAAGCGGGAGCTATCGGTAAGGCAGGCCCACGAGGACCAAAGGGTTTAAAAGGCAATCCTGGAAAGAAAGGAGCACCAGGAAAGAAAGGACCCAAAGGGAACAAGGGTGAGACTGGCATGCCAGGACCCTGCACCTGTAATGCCAACAAAGCCAAATCTGCCTTTTCTGTGGCTGTCTCCAAAAGCTACCCAAGGGAAAGGCTGCCCATCAAATTTGACAGGATCCTTATGAATGAAGGAGGACATTACAACGCTTCCAGTGGGAAATTTATATGCAGCATCCCAGGTATTTACTACTTCACTTATGATATCACCTTGGCCAACAAACATTTGGCCATTGGCTTGGTCCACAATGGGCAGTACCGGATCAAGACCTTTGATGCCAACACTGGGAACCACGATGTTGCCTCTGGATCAACCATCCTTTCTCTGAAGCGTGAGGATGAAGTATGGCTGCAGATCTTTTACTCTGAACAAAACGGGCTCTTTTATGACCCCTACTGGACAGACAGTTTGTTCACCGGCTTCCTGATCTATCCTGATCAAGATTGTCTCAATGAAATATAGAGCAAAAAACAAACCCATACAAAAATAAAATATAAATAAAATAAAATAAAATAAAATAAAATAAAATAAAATAAAATAAAATAAAATAAAATAAAATAAAATAAAATAAAATAAAATAAAATAATAAACCCCAAAAATAGGAAATGGATGTGACCTCAGTCCAGCAAAGTGTAGCCTGTACATGGACATGTGTGGAGTTATACCATTCCACATTTTTCGCACTAACAGCCTGCATTGGCTCCTTAGATATTTACTTGATGTCACCAACTAGTCCATAGGGTGTGCCAGGATTAGTAGGAACAACCTTTAAGTAACCTCATGAGTCTCTAAGCCTTGAAGCTACCTGTTATGTTTTCCCACCACCATCCAACTGTGCCATGGACATGTAACTCAAGTACTGGTGCAGAACGTTTTCATTATTGTATTATTATAAAGTGTGAGGATCAAAAATCATTTCCTGAAATCTGAGCTCCTAAGTGCAATTGATGTTGGAGATTGTATCAGTGCCTCTCTGCCACCCACGTCTAATAATAATAATAATAATAATAATGATAATAATAATACTTGTTACATTTTACCAGCTTCCTAAAAGTCAGGAAGTTACCAGCTACTGTTACAAAAGTGCCAGTAACTCTCAGCCTCATCAAAGCAGAACTAATAAGCAAAGGCATCCGTTCTAAACAGGACATGCCACAAAGGAGAGAGCTAAAGGCTGAAGGTAAAACTCCTGGTAAGATATACCTTGTTACATCAAGCACTGCTGGCATTGCTCAGATTTCAGCTGCTCGTACTGGTGCTGGGGTCCTGTGCTGGCTTTCAGGCAAGCACTGATAAGATATGACCAGAGACAGACTTTGGTTGTGCAAGCCAAATTCTTGCCAGCCTCCTACCCTTGGCAGAGAGGGAACTTTGCAGATAGGACTGAATTTTCTGAGACAGCATGAACCTTCACTACAGAAACAGCTTCATTAACACGCCCATTTCTTGATTCTTGCCAGTTTTTCCTTCATCCCTGCCAGCGTCTGCTGGAAGGAGATACTTGTGGTGCTGCTGAGATCCTCCTCAAGGGCTTAAGGCTACACACAGACTCTGGTCTTACCAATATGCTTTGTTTTTTTTGTTTTGTTTTGTATGTCAGTATTACAGATACTCTAAAATCAATGTCTTGGTGCTAAATGGTATTTAAAAAATAAGGGGCAGAAAAGTCAAAAGCTGAGCTTTTTGCTTTTGCTATGTTGAGCTTTGTCTTTCTTTCCAACCCAAACATCGGCTAATACAGGGATGTGCTCCAAAAGGATTTGCTATTACCATAGCAAGAAGAGCTCTCCTGCTATCAAGCTGCCCAGTTGGCTGCCTTGCCCCAGGATGTCAAACCCACCCTGTAACAGAGGGCTATCTCAGCAGCCAGATGGAAGGAGTCTTCCTCACTATCAGATGCATCTTCTTGGTTTCCACATTCATATTTCTTGGCTCCTTTATCACTTCACTAAACCTCATATGAATTTCCAGCTCCCCTAATCTTCATATTCAGGAACTGAAGGAGTAGTCCATAAGAACAAGTTAAGATATTTTTAAAAAAATCTTACTTTTACAAATTAAAATAGTTGCATGATATTGATGAACTACAGTAATTGTGTTATGTCTTACAAAAATAATTTCAAATACATTTTATGAAAATAAAGCTGTACAAAAATACTGGAATACCCTTGATACTAATAAAGCAGTGTTCTAGAAGTTATTTCAGAACTGCTACAGATTCCATAGACACTTTTAGTTTTAGTGATGGTTGACACCAGGGCCAGGTGTCAACAGAGTATCTCCTCTCTCCAAAGGGCTCTCTATCCAAGACTATCTGCAAGGTGGAAGAAAAGGATCTGTCCATTCCCTTGAAGCTGCTCACCTTTCTGGCAGGTGTCCTTTCCCTGGCAGTGGCTGCTCATTTAGGAAGACTCTCATTTAGGATGTCCTGGGGTGCATTTTGTAGACAGCTTCCTGAAGGCAGCAGCAGTTCAAGCACTGCCTTTCTCTCCCAGCACCCATCCCTGCACTCCCACCTTCACAGCCTGGGAGCACAGCTGGGGCCAGGACAGCTTTTGGGCAGAGCCAATGTGCCTGCAGGTATCTGCCCTGACACAGCTCCCCAGCACCATGTTAGAGGCAGCCTGAGGGACGTGGCGGGACTGCTGCCAAGAGAGTGCTCCCTTCTGCAGTCCTTCCCTCCCCTCAATTCAATATATCACCCATTCCCAAAAGGATTTATTTTTTTCCTGATGTATAGGCAGATTAGTTTTTCACCAGCTTTGAGGTGACTCCACTTGGTGCAATGCAGGTGCCAGAGCTGGGAGGGGATGGGAGAGCGTTGTGGGGAACTAGACTGAGAAGAGGAACATGGAAGGAAAGCAGCAGTCAGGAGCTAGCTCAGCTGAACCATCAACCATCCTATACAACTAAACTCCCAGTTGTCCCCTGTTAACTCAGAAGGCCCCTGCAGGGAGCATTTCCCCTTGTCAGTCCTCTGAGGACTTCCCCTAGCTGGCTTCCCTTGATGAGAAGCAATGGGAGTTATTAGCTCTGGCAAAGCATCTTTTTTGTCTAGTGAAAAAGAAAATTTGCAAATGAGTCTCTATGTCTGGAAGATTAAAATGCAAATGTCAGAGAAACCCCCTGACCCCTGCTAAGTGCTCAGTAAAATACAGCTTGCTTTCAGTCTGGGGCTGAGGTCCTCCCTGCCGACCAGGAACACTGGCTCCACCATGCTCACATCCACCCTTGGGAACTGCCCCTGCCACTACACCAGGTCACAGTGTGGCTTCTGTGCTTGCAGGGCTTAGCCCCAGCCCTTGCAGATCTGCTGCCATCAAGGACTCACGAGGGACGATTCAGACCTTTCAGATACTGCAGGCAAAATGGAGAGGTACAGCTTCCCCTGTATTAATTTTTCTCTGATTATTTAACCTCCCATTGGGCTGCAGTCAGTTAAAGATGCCAAGCATCAATTATTTCTGTGAAAGAAGTATGAGTGTTTGAAGGGATACACTCTTGCACAGGTTCCTGTGAAAGAGATTAATTTCCTCTTAGCATGCCTTAAAAGCAAACAAAGCAACTTTCATGGTGAACAAAATGTCTCTATTCAGCCCAATCCTGCACAAGGATCATTCCAAGCAGCTGCAGGTTTCCTTCCTCCTGCTTCGCCAGGAGAAGAGGGAGGGAAGAGCAGCTGGCGAAACAGCAAGTGACTGGTCATCACAAGGCTGACCACTGGAACACTGAATTTGAGGTGCTTCCCCCCCCCCCCCCCCCCCTAAAGTGCCTGGCTCAGGCTTCAGAGATTTTCAAAAATAACACATTCTGGCTTGCTTCTGCATCTTCAGGCTGCATTTTGGTTTGTGCTTCCGTTTTTCTCCAGCCAAGCAGCTTTATTTATTTATTTTTAATACCAGAATTAACAAAATTTTATTCCAGAAATAAAATATTCCAGGAGTTTCTGGAAAAAACACCACATAAAGAGCTCTGGCTTTCACAGGCAAGCTCTTGCAAGAGAGAACCACTCCCACACAGGCTGCTTGCTCCAGCCCAGGCAGTTCCCAGCACCTCCATCACAGGGAGAGCAGAGCTGGGAATGTCCTGGCCAAGCAAACACATGGGCAGATACCATCAGGAGGGAGGGAGGTAGGGAAGAACACACTGACCAAGGCAGGATGCCATCTGCATCTACTGCCCTCATGCAAGACCTCTTACGCTGCAATAGCCTTCTGCACTGGGAGTGCCAGCACTGCCAGTGCAGTGCCTTGTACTCCAAGTTTTGTCACAGGTGAATCCCTCTGGGCATTCAGCATGCCAGGAGGAGGTGGGGAAAGGTAGCAGCAGCATCTACCTTTTGTGTTCATTCAGCAATAAAGGCTCAGCAGGTTCATCTTGTGGCTCATTAGAGACAAGCACAGACATGGCTGTGACACACCTGCCCAGGTCCCCTCCATGGTGGCAAAGGGTTTTCTGCCAGAGGAGCTCATGTCTGCTACCACAGGGCTTTCCCCTTCCCATGTCCATCCCAACACCATGCAGTGGTGTACCTTGCAGTGTCAGGCTTGCTTTCAGACTCTGCACAAATATCGGCAAATTGGGAAGCACTCAGTACTGGGTGATCCCAAGTCCCAGGATAAACACCACTGTCTGATGCTGCTTCTGATTCCTTAACTCGGTCTCCCAGAGGCTGTACTTCTGCACTTGAAGTGACCCAGGTTCCACAGTAGAAGCTGCCAAATTACATCTGGACATCACAGGCCTGTGACTGCAGGGCCCCGAGCCCCCAGCGCTCCTGCCTCAGCTGCCCCCAGGCCCTGGCCTGGCCCCCAGATGTGGCACCACGGATTTTACTGTGGGGAAATTATAATGGTTCTCTTGCCCCATCCTATTATAACCCTGTAGCCTCCCTGATAGGGGTACAGTCGTGAGTTGGTGCTGTTTGTGTTCCACGTAAGATGACTAAGAAGCACCTTTTTTCTACATAGACTCAACTAAGAGCACCTCAGCTCGTTACTGATGCAGGCTTAGCTCTCTCAGCACTTTCTCTGCAATGCAGCAGCATTTCCACGGTGTTGTTTCCCTAACTGAGTCTCTGGTTCTTCTGAGCTTATTGTGCTGGCAGGTAAAATGCAGGTGGCCTGAGACACTCTCTGGCCACAACTTAAGAGACACAACTTAAAGTTGTGTCCTTAACTATTTTCAGATAGCTTTGTTCAGCTTTATACAAATTTCATTGTCTTAGCGTTCAGAACAATGGAAGAGTGGTGAAGATACTGACCTGTTCGAATTAAACTGTTTATTTTTCTAGAGAAAAAAGTCTTCAATCCTCAATGTCATTGATTTGAAACTAGGTTTATATCAGTGAAACCTTACGGTCTTTGTACCTGTGCTTTACTTAGCCATGACTTATTAATGATGATGAATTAACATAAACTTTCTCTAAATTAATATAAATTCTATGTAAGCCTATTTACTTAGGATTCCTCTGGGATTTTGCTTTGATCTGCCTCAGTCTGTCTTTTAAAACACTTGAAAGTTTAATAAACACAGTTCTGATGTGACTATAGACTGTATTTTTACCCAAACTGTACCATTATATCAGAACTTTTTGATGACTTGAATGATCCTTCTTGGGTTGAAAAGATATACTGTAACTGCAGCCAATTTTTAGAATATCAGTAAGTCAAGTTATGGTATAATGTCTGCAGATTGTTTGACTATCAAATGGAATAGTACTGGAGTCCTTGTTTTATGTACGTGGCCTTGCTGGCACTCCCTCCTTCAAAATAAAGCAATTCCAAGGTTCAAGGCTATTCCTGAGCTCTTATCACTCCTAGAACTACTAATCTGTTGAGTTTGTTACTGTGCATAGTTTATGATACCAAATAAACTTTTTTTTTTTTTTTTTTTTTTTTTTTTTTTTTTTTATCAGCAAGGCAGTCTTTGAGCACTAACATGGCTATGCTACAGAAAGGAGAACCAACTCGATTCATTATTTTTTTCAATTTTTATTATCAATGCAGGACACTTTTGATGCATGATAATTTATTTTCAAATGGAAAAGGTGAAGTACATGGGCCATAATCTTGAAAAATAAAATCTTTTGACTGGCAAATTAAAACCAGCATTATAGGGATCAATTTTCTTTTTTAAACGGAATCTCTCAAGATTTTCTTAAATATATAGATTTAAAATGTTTTGAAGCAATAGATGAAAGGGACGTAAAGAATATTTGAAAATCTATACTATGTTCATATTATTGAAACTTTATTTTGAAGAATTTATATCAATTAATAATTATTTAACACAAATAAACTTGAGAATTATGTTGAGATAATACAGATGTGAAAAAGTTATACAAAACGAATACATCATTGTATGAATTATGAATGGATTACTTGTAAGGAAATGCTCAGCGTTATACAAAATATTTCTTAAGCATGTGTTCAGTTTCAAGTAAAAAGAGAAAAAAAATAGTGTCCTTGCTTAAATTAAGGGACTCAAGTACTTTGTTTAAGGGATACCAAGATAATTAGATGTACTAGAAAGAAAATAGGGGAAAATTATTTCTGATGGACACTTGGTGGCAGCTTTTATCTGTAGGTTTAATAGCTGTTGCCAATTAATTTCATTGCTTCTCTTTTACAACAGGGGACAAGCCAGAAAATAGACCATAAACAACGATGGTATGTTTTCACCAGAAGAATTGGTCAACAAATTTGTTGATCACAAAAATACTTTCCCAGGAACATTAAAATCAACACAAATATTTACTTTGAATGAAGCATGCAGGTTTTTTTGTTTCTTCCCTTTTGCAAAGCAATAAAGAAAATATTTTGTGGGGTTCTTTTTGAAAAATCCTGTGTAGAATGACAGGCAATTTGCTTATTTTATTTTAAATAATAATAATTCTGAAACTGGAGTTCATTTCCTTAAATGGGAAAGCTGCTGCTAGGCCTGGTGAAATTTCTCAGGAAATTCTTTGTCCTAAACAGATCAACAGTGAGACTTTGGTATAGGATAAAAATGGGAGGGATGGTGGGCCATGAGCCCCCAGCACAAAGCAGTGGTTATCAGTCTGAAAATTTGCCAGGCTGAGGCTGAAGGCAAACGACAAATCTGCAGCTACTGTCAGGATCCTTCTGTCTGTGTGACAAGGATGGGACCTGTCACAAAGAAGAGATGCGAGATATGGCTTAAGTACGGTGACAGGAGGGAAGTGCATCGCTTGGCAGGTCCCAGAACAGGTTGGAGTTGCTTGCTAGTCACTGGGAGAGGCAAACCTTGCTGTGTGGCCCGACAGGGAGCTGTGCTCCTGTCAGACACGGTCTGAAGAGCTCACTTTCAGCCCCAAGCAAACGTGCGGTCTACAAGTTTCTGGCAGCTGAAGATGGAATCATAAAACTAGAACAAAACCCATTTCTTACGTTAATACTGAGGGCATATATTGTTTTTACGGTAACACCGAGAGTATTATTGAGCATTCACAGGCTTGAAGCCGGGAGAAGCTTGGTGTCCCGCTTCCCAGGCAGCCCTCCTTGCCCAGCCCCACGGCTCCCAGGGGCTCGCCTCTTAATTGCAACCAATTAACCCCAGCGCCGCACCGTCGCGGGGGAGCAGCTGCACCCCCACCGCCTTTCCTTCTTCTTCCTCCTCCTCCTCCTCCTCCCCCCCAGCAGCGGGGTTTCCGCCCCCCTGGCAGCGGCTGCTCCCGGCCCGCGGGGAGCCTGGGGGAGCCGCAGCGGCACCGAGAGGGGACTCGGGGCCCCAGGGAGGGCAAAGAGCCGGGGAAAGAGCCTCGGTCGGTTTGTTCCCCCTGCCGGCAGAGCGCCCCCGAGCCTCCTCCGGACCTTTGGCTGGGTGGGAAGAAGGAGGATTGAGGAGCGTTGGTGGAAAGGAGAGCTGGCGGCAGACATCCATCAGACCCTGAGGACGAAGGTTTCGCCCCGCTTTGTTCCTTTCCCTCCTCCTCCTCCCTCACCTCTCCCCTGCGGTGTGCTCCTGACTGGGACCTGCTCCAAGCCGAAGCCGCACGAGCTGGTCGGCAGCTTTAACTTAGCTGGCCTGCTGGTCCCTCCTTGGGTTAGATGCCAAGAGAGCACGGAGATGAAGAAAAATCAGCGCATCGCGGGAAGCCGAGAAATGGTTTTGCTTCTTTTCACCAAGATAAATGCTAAGATTCGAGTAAAATATGGGACCTTGTTCCCTGGCAAGCTGTAAAGGAGCTGAAAGAAGCACCAACAGGGCTTGTAATGACTTTTCTAGAAGTTAGGATGTCGTTACAGGCAGATTAGAAAGCCAACAAAACGGCTTGCAATACACAAAATAGTGCAGCACGGTCGGTTGTACTTGCACTGCAGGCAGGTAAAACTAAAGCTGCTCGTTTGCTCTTTGTTTCCTTTGGTAGATCCCTGGCTCTGAAGAAGCTCTAAATGCAGCTTGTTAACATGGGGAACGTGGGAGCGAGCCCACAGCAAACATTGCCTACCTGTAGTTGACACAGCTTTAAGCTCATAAAGTTATGCTAACAAAGTTAACACTTTGGACGTTCTGCACCCTTTTTCTTTACAGTTGTTTAGCAATAACTTGTGCCAGGTGATGCAATTGCTACCAGGTCTCTTACAATCCAGTTGGTTTGTTCTTAGACCAGAACATTAAACCTGTTGCAAACCTGAGCCAGGAACAAAAATAAAAAACAGAGCATACTGTGTACGTTTGTATCAGGAATTTTGATTTACGCTAAGCCATAAAAGGTGCTGAGTGAATTGATGTTTTCTGGTTCTTCAGTAACGTAGGGCCATTGTAGAAATAGGAAATAATGGAAAGGTACAGGTTGTTCCAGGCAGCTGACTTCTCCATCAAAAATCAGAGAGCTTTCTAAATGGAAGTCGAACTGCTGTGACATCTCTACAAAACTCTCCCCTCTTGAGTAGCTCTGAATACAACGGAAATGTGGAAAGCTAAGTAGCAAGTCAATGTGTGGTTGTTTGTTTTTGTTTGTTTGTTTGGTTTCTGTCTTGTTTGAAGAAATTCTTTACTTTAGAAGGCAGTCTGAGTGTCCCAGTAAACTGAATGATGTCTGGTGGCTATTTCTCTTCTGTTTCAGTGCTTATGCTGGGTTGTTTCCTTTCGGGATAAGTTCATTTCCTGCAATTAATGAGAATTACTAGATCTGTCTGCATTTCCCTTTTTATTCATCTCAGAGGAGGGCCAAATTTTACAGGACTTGTTGTTTGTGAATTTAAAAGGTTAATATTGTAACTTGATCTTTTTTTATGGGAGTCCAAACTGCAGTCTGCAGTTACTTTCAGCCAGGTCAGGAGAGCTGATCTTTCTGCTGAAACCAAACAGTCCTTTAAGTTGTAAAATGTGCCTCTAACTGGTAGGAATGTCTGAGTGAGTTCCTCTAGGAGAAGGCTCCTGTCTCCCACCTCCTCTTGGGGCTTAAAGATCTCATGAGGAATGCTCTTTACCACTGCAACATGTTTCGTTCTGTTTTGATGTGCAACTTTTCCCTCAACTTGAGTCCATAGTTTCAGTTTGGACTGCAGTCCCTGAAGCAGGACCGCAAGACACACAGAACTTGTTGTGAGGGGCCCTTATCTTCACTGGCCATAAGCACATTTCTTGCAGTTCTTCCTGTTAGAAGTAGTGCAGTATCCTGTTATTAAGTTTATTCTGTAAAAATACAATCTTTTCTTCTTCTCCCTGCATCAAGTGTATGTGCCTGTATTTCTATAGTAGATTAGGTCCTTGTGTTTTCTATAGTTCTGCTGAAGCACATGGTTTACTTGACCTGTTGATAGCATGAAGATTTTAATGTAACAGGTACTATCTTAAGCCAGTAAGTCCACTTTTGTCCTTGTTATTTTAAAAACTTGTCATCCTTTCAACATTTACCTAGTACTGATGGTAAGTTTGATACATTCAAATCTGCCTGGCACAGTCTGAAATTTCCAGACCAGACAACTGCACATGCAGTTTATGAAGAGGGAAGGCACTACGGCATTGTGTAGGTGATGCTTCTGTTTTTGTTTTTAAAATGAATTGTAGATGAGAACTTCAGGGGTCCCAGATACCTGTAGACATGCAAAAGTGTTTGGACTCCTTGCCATCACAATTCATCAAAAAGATAAAACATTAAACTTTCATTCTGACGAGATTCTCCAGTTTGAATGAGTGGTAAGAAGAGAGTAGGTGTTACAGGCATTGAGGTTTATTAATATTAGGCTTTTTCCAAAAGTGGAAAGCAACAGCATAATCTGTTCACTTGGGAGGGAATCTAGCTTTTGAAAAACAGTAACAATAGCATTGCTGGCTGCTAGGTGTAATTTGGTTATTTCATAGACAGCAGCATATGCATGAAGCTGAAAGAAACGAGTGTCCTAGTAAAGTACATGGTTATTCATGATTTCTTTTTTTTTTTCTCCTTAAAGTTGGAATTTCAATTTTCACACTCCTTTCTCTGATCCTTCTCAGATTAGCTGCTGAACTTCTGACTGCTTTGAACTGTGTAAGAAAGACTTAATGAAATGTCTGATAAAATACCACAGTGAAACACATGAAGTAGTGGATTTTCAAGCACCATAGTATTTCAACTTTCTCTTAGATTTCAAATGTTTGGGACTGTTGGGAGGATGAATGGCAGTATGTTTAAGCTCAAAAAATTTGTAAGTGCAGTTGAAGTACTGGCCTGGTCTGCCATGTGTTTGGAGGGTTTTTCTGTATGACATCTTGGTAGTATGACTGAAGCTTAATTTCTGAGTTTAAACAAAGCTCAGATCTTAAGGAATGGAGCCTGCTTTTATCTGTGGATATTCTGAAAAACTTTTTTTTTTTTTTTTTTTTTTTTTTTTTTTAATGCAAGTGAAATAGCCCAGAGTAAGCCAAAGCCATTAAGTAGGTTGAGAACTGTGGTTCCTTTACATGGCTGGAGTTCTGGTAGGAGGTTCAAGTGAGTTTCATGCTCCTTTTGAGTGTACAGGAACAATGGTAACAGAAGAAAATCTTAATTTATGGTGTTTTTCATTTGTGCATCGATGGTATACCAATGAAGATTTTTACCAATTATCATAAATCAGTAAGGGTAGCAGCTGGCAGCACTGGTCTATATGGTATAAGTGTGTGTTTAAGGTGTTGCTCCATCCACCTGACTGATCACTGCTGAACATGAGAAAAATAAAGGATATGTTGTGTTATAAATGAAGGTACAACTCAATCTGAATTTAGTAATATTTATAAAAGGCAAGTAAACAGCGCTGGGTGTGCGGGGAGCCTACGCTCTACCAAATACACGCACACAACCATCGAACTTTCTAAATATGCAGAACATTGCTTTTACATATTCATAAGAAACCCGAGTACACCTATACATATGTACGACCTATCTCTGCTTCGTATCATAATTAGTATTTTCTCAAACACCTCCTTTTGGCATCTGCGCAGTGTTTCTTGGTGGTGGCAAACACCCAGCAACACCCATGCCCCAACGGCCTGAGAACAAGCAACCCCAGATGGCAAGGCGTCTCCTGAATCACCCTTCTTTGCTCCCTCTAAATTCTACATTCCCGATGGCCTCATCGTTAAGAGTCTGATGTTATCACCAACCATGGGGCTTGTCAACCCCCATGGCCACACTCCCACATCTCCCCCTTCATTTTGTTGGGGGTCGTGGGGATGAAGGCTCAGGGTTCTTCATTGCCACTAGTACACAAGGTTCGCAAATGTAACAAAATGTAATTGACACTAACAGTGACACCATCTTTTCTGGCATTTTGTTAACTATTGAAACTACACTAATGATATGATTATCATATAACATTAAACAACAAATTTTAACAGTTTTTGCCTTTTTCTTTGAGGTTGTGTTTGCCCATGTGGAGCAATATAATATATGGAGCAATAATTCGTGTCAAGAAGATGGTTGATATTAATAAAGAATTTTTAAAAAAGTTTTTTACAAAACTTTTCATGTTTGGAGATTGTGGTGATCACTTTAAATGCTGTGCCCTGTCTTTCTGGAGGCTTTTTGCTGAGAGATGCTGATCAATATGTTGAGCAAAGTTTGTTGAGTAGTTCCAAGACACCCGTGAGCCTCTTATGATGCTGCTGCTTTTATAGCATTTTGATGTGATGATGGTGCAGCAGCCTACAGCGGGGTAGTTGGAGTGGAGAGGAGCGAACAGGTCAGAGATAAGCAGAAGCAGTATATGAAAGGGCAATTCTAGCAGGTGGCAGGACTAACAGTTTCTTCTCTACTGCTTTTCTGGAAATAGATGAAAAGTTTAAGTATTGGAAATGATTTTATTCTTTTTACACTATATTTTTTTTCCAGAGCTGTAGTTGCTAGTCCTCAACAGTATCCTCCAAGTATCTAGGCATTTTTTGCATTCAAAGAAGTAATTTTTTTTTTTTTTTCCCTTGATGAACTTATGCAGAAGAACCTTATGAGGAGTTGATAGAAGAGGATGCACATCCATGGCTTTGTAGGGCTTCTCACTTTGTGTAGGTCGTCGGTGGTTGCCAAACATAACTGTGAGCCTGCTTATCCTGCTCTTGCATCGTTACACTGTCTGCCTCTCTCTCATAGGAAACAATCTCAGCATTTCAGACTGATCCTAAAAGCAGTCCTAAGCAGTCCTACTGAAGTACTGAGCTGCTTTGTGCTGTGTGCTGCAGGGCAAGGCTCTTGCCTGTGCACAGATTATAACCCTGGATCAATTAATACCTGGGATCATGTAAGGAACCACAGCCTATAGCATCTCCTAATTTAACCCTGTAATTGAACTTGTCTGGTTTCTTAAGTCTGATTATATGGAAGCCCACGTGGTTTTATTTTGGTGCACAAAATCAGAATGCCTCTCACACTGGTTTCCAGTTATGCATGTCCCTCTAAGCCTGATCGTGTCGCCCTTTTCTCCTGATAAGCTGAATGTGCTCATCGAGTGCTTCCTTCCAGGGAGATGGGAGAGTGGGGGCAGCCACCTCACCAGCTCTGCACAGTGGTGTCTCCTCTGTAAATGGTGTAGCCAGTGCAGATACTTCAGATCTCTGATCTCTTCATCTTGATTTGTTTAGTAGGATTAACTGCTCTGTGTACCACTCTGTATTCCAATATAATACTTTATCTTGCAGCACTATGCTACTTCTAACTCTTTTTCAAATATATGTCATTTTTATATTACATGTAAGTGAAATCTGAATTACCTTGCTGTTTTTTTTTTCCTTATCTATGCCTATCAACATGTATTCAGCCTATTTTTACTAAAGTCTGGTCATGGTAATGCATTAGTAAATGATTATTTCTAAACTAAGAAAGTATTAAATGTAGGCATTAGATTTTTTGGGGTGTTCCCAAGGATCTTCACTCCTTCCCTTAACCTACTCTTTGCATAGTGTTTTCACACGGGTTTGTAGCCACTTGCAGGTGAAGATCTAGCATAGGTAGACCAAAAACTTCAATAATTCTACCTTTAAAATGAAAATTTGTATACCATATGAAATAATCTATCAGCTTGTTAGCTTTTATAATGCTGAAATAGGTTAGTACAGAAAGTGCTTGACTTTGCTGTAAGTAGAAGTCTAATCACTCATTCTCCCATGATTTTTTTCTTGTTAATGTCCATATTTTTCTTACTGCAGCTATGCACTGTGCATGTGTTTTAACATTAGATAGAAGTTTTTTATGCTAGAGGCTTCTTTTTTTTTGGTACAGGATGTAGTAAGTTGGGCAATGGAGGAAGGGACAGTATAGGAGAAGCATATATTGCAGTGATAGCCTATGAAACAGTATTTAACAGTCCAGTTTGGTTGAACAAAATAAAAAGCAGTCCTTAAGGGACAGCATTCATGGCAAAGGAGTTTGGTGTTCCTGGGAATTGCAATCTCCTGGGTTAAACTAATTTAAAATATTTAAGCACGCGTTTAATGTTTGTAAGGGAAGTGCATGGATGACCCAAGACTTAAAGTTAATTGACTGTCAAAACATGCCCTGATTTCTGTGTCAATCAGTGCTGTATTTGCTAAGTGGCTGCTGCAGCAGGTGGTGGTTGGGATTCCGGACAGCGAAATGATAAATAAATGGTATATTTCAGTATCTCTTTCCTACTTTTTTTTTTCTCCTTCTCTGTTACCCCCTGTAGGAGCTTAACCTACCTTTGTATAAGGCCCATTCACCACAGATTGGGATGTGCTGGTACTTCATTGATCTCTTGACCATCATCAGCAACTGTTGCAGCCTTTGCCCTACAGCCCGGCACCCTCGCTGCCTACTTACTGGACCTCTTCATGGATCACTACAGTATCAGTGTCAAGTAACTGTACATCTCTGCATTTGCCTGTCTTCTCCTAGCAAGTAAGTTGGCTGCTGTCTACTAAGACCTTTTTTTAAACTTTCTCTGAGCAGATGGTTGTTCTCCTTACACGTCATGTGCTGTTTTCTCTGTTAAGACTACAGCTTCTATCTACTTAGGGTAAGTGCCTAATGAAGTCCACAGAAAGGCATAAAGTAGTCTTAAATTCTGCCCAAATTGTGTTGCACATCTGCATGCTGGTGTTAATGTGCAGAGGAATTTTGGGTAACTGAAGTGTTGGATCAGTGGAAAGGGATGATGAAGATCAGGGAGTGATGGAAAGGAGGTGGCAAGACTGGGAGAGTTTGGTTCTAAGGAAAAATCAGTAGTAGAAAATAGCATGTGTAACGCAGTCTCTCCTGGAAATCTGTCCTTGTCTCTGTGCCTCTGTTATCACTGGTCATAATCAGTTCCTTGTAAATCAGAGTTTTCTTGCACAGGGGTGAAAGGAAAATTGTTTTGTGAGGATATGTTGATGATGCTGGAATGTCTATTGCTTGTTCTGGGCTCCTATCAAGTAGCTGGTCATTGCTATGTAACACTGAAGATCTGGTGTTGGCATCCACTTGAAAAATGATCTTGAATATTTGTCATTAGTATTTTCTTGAAGTCTCTGCAGCTAGTGCTGTGCAAGTGGAAGGCAGTGGGGCTGGTGCCTCAAGGAATTGCCTCAAGGACTACCCTTGCAGACTTATAAGCTCTGTTTCTAGGTTACAGGGAAATCATTCTGCCATATAGGAGCCAGGCAGAGCACCACGCTATTGTTGTGGACAACAAAAGTTATGCAAACTGTAGCAGTAGAGCCTAGAAGGTGTGAGTAGTCATATTGATTAAGGTAAAAAATGCTATGAAGAGCCAGAAACCATTTCTCAAGGAAATAAGGTGATGTTATGTGCTTATTCCTCAGGATGCAGGTTTGCTACTGCTTTTCCCTGACGGGAGTGCTCTGAAGAGCTTAATCTGCAGAGATAATGGTAAAAGACTAACAAACCATACATATGGTATATTTAAGCATTGTTCACTCACGAGAAAAAGGTGGTGAATTATATGGAGCAGTTCCTGGTTCATATTACAGAAAAGGCCAATATTAAAATCAGAACTAAGAATAGAAATAGGTTTCTGTAGGTATAGTTTTGCTTCAGCCTACATGAGCCCTGGGTAGAGCTGTTGCAGTTCTGCTGATCTGAACATTTTATGAGCTCCTTTGGAAAAGTAAATTGGCAGAAAACTATCCCAGCTGAGGAAGTGTTTTCTTTCTGTTTACCAAAGATTTTTCTTCACTCTCCTGAGGGGTCAGACAAGCTTCATGCCCTTGCAAAGGAGGGGAGAGGGACTAAGGCTGACCTTAAAATTGTTAGGAAACTGCACCCTTTATTTCAAATGCAGCAGAATGAAATACCAGGTTCAGGTAGCCTGAAGACTGAAGTCTGTTCAGAAATGCACTCCTTAGCTTTTGGGCTTTCTGATAGATTTTTTTTTTTTTGTATGTGTGTGGGTGTTTGTGTAACATCATAACTGCAAGAAGCCTCATAGCATTACTGCTTCCCCCCCAAGGGGTGAAAGTGACCTTCAGGAATAGAGAATAAGATTTTCTTTAAATCTGACAATTTCAAGTATACTCCTCTTCCATTTTTTCCCAGCATAAAATTGATGCTTCAATGGTTCTTATTAATTAATTTATTTTTTCCTCATTTGATTTAGAGGAAGAATTTATAGCTATAACTTACATTTGCAGTGCTATGCAGACAGGATAGAAGTGATACCTTCAAACTTTGTATGAGTTGTCAGAATTGGTATAATGGTAGGATCTTGGGCAGAAGTTTCCTTTATGAGATTGGGAGGGCTGGACTCCTATAGTTTCCAGGATTTTAAAAAAAATAATAATAAGAAGAAAAAAAGCTTTTGAGGCTGTTCTTATGTAAATGAATAAAGTCAAATGCAACTCTATATCACTTCTAAGCAACTGTGAAAAAAAGGAAAGCTTGCAAACTGCCCTGCGATAGCACTAGAGGGAAATGTTTTGCAAATTCTGCTTTATTATTTTTTTTAAGGCAATTTGATTAAAAGAGCAGGTCTGGGTCTAGTGTGCTAATGAATATGAGAATCTTTCTACAGTTGACACTAGTGTATGCAGCAGCATTCATACATCTGGATCTGGAATAAAATCATGCCTTATAGGAAAAGATCTATTATTGTAAAGGTAGCTTTCCTACCAATATGTAGAAGCACAATACTGAAAGTTGAACCAAAACAGCTTTGCACAAAACGAATGCCTAAATAATTTCTATAGATAAGGTTTTATATGCTAGTGTTCAGTCTGGAGACTTTGGGGAGCATAGCAAACGCTGTTGTTTACAGTTAGGGCCATCCTAATGTGTAGTAAGGACCTTCTTTTCTGGTATGTGTAGCTTGATCTGATGCAAGTCAAGTCAGGAAAAGTTATTTGACACTAAGTGGGGGTTCCTGGATTTAGCTTGTTATTTTCACAGAATCACAGAATTTCTAGGTTGGAAGAGACCTCAAGATCATCGAGTCCAACCTCTGACCTAACAGTCCCCACTAAACCATATCCCTAAGCTCTACATCTAAACATCTTTTAAAGACCTCCAGGGATGGTGACTCCACCACCTCCACGGGCAGCCTGTTCCAGTGTCTAACAACCCTTTCGGTAAAGAAGTTCTTCCTAACATCTAACCTAAAACTCCCCTGGCGCAACTTTAGCCCATTCCCCCTCATCCTGTCACCAGGCACGTGGGAGAACAGGCCAACCCCCACCTCGCTACAGCCTCCTTTAAAGTACCTATAGAGAGCAATAAGGTCGCCCCTGAGCCTCCTCTTCTCCAGGCTGAACAAGCCCAGCTCCCTCAGCCGCTCCTTGTAGGACTTGTTCTCCAGGCCCCTCACCAGCTTCGTCGCCCTTCTCTGGACCCGCTCAAGCACCTCGATGTCCTTCTTGTAGCGAGGGGCCCAAAACTGAACACAGTACTCGAGGTGCGGCCTCACCAGAGCCGAGTACAGGGGGACGATCACCTCCCTAGCCCTGCTAGCCACACTGTTTCTGATACAAGCCAGGATGCTGTTGGCCTTCTTGGCCACCTGAGCACACTGCTGGCTCATATTCAGCCAACTATCAACCAATACTCCCAGGTCCTTCTCTGCCTGGCAGCTCTCCAACCACTCCTCTCCCAGCCTGTAGCTCTGCTTGGGGTTATTGCACCCCAGGTGCAGGACCCGGCACTTGGCCTTGTTGAACTTCATGCAGTTGACCTCAGCCCATCGGTGCAGCCTATCCAGATCCTCCTGCAGAGCTTTCCTACCCTCGAGCAGATCGACACACGCACCTAACTTGGTGTCAATTTCAAAATTATATGAAATGGAAGAAATCTTGTAATATGATTTTTCGCTTTAGCTTTGTACTAAAAGACTCGGAGTATTGACCAGAAGTCACCTGAAGTGTCTTGCTGTAGTGAAGAAGACTAAAACTGGTTCCTTGCCAGTTACTGCAAATGCAGCAATTAGAACTTCCTGCAAAACATTACTGTAGGAATTGCATCATTTTTCAGCAAAGAATTGCAGTGAAAGTGCTTTTCTGTCTGTGTAGCAAGACTTTGTACTTATTAAAAATATGTATATGACTTTAGAGAAACAAAAACTTCAGCTTTATGAAGTTTTCAGTCAGCAATTTTTCAAAATGCTGTTGTTTGCTCCATCAAGATGAATGTTTAACACAGAATATCTTTCAATAAGCATTACAAACATGTTTTGAGAAAGCAATCAGGAGTCAAAAACAAACTTCCTTAGGAAAAAAAGCAAGAGGTTAAGGGTAGTGTGCAGACCACAAGCAAGATGAGGTCTGGTTAGAGGTAAGAATTCTTACAAGTAAGTGGGGGGATGGTTTATGGTTTTTTTGAGAGGGTTGGGAGGGGTCAATAGGGAAGCTTTTGGGGACACAGCTTTTGAAGTGGAAGCAACAAAATTCTAAGCTAAATGTTAGTTGAGTATGTTTGGGTAAGCTCAGAGAAATTGTTGATAACTTCTATTTAGTTTGAAGTTTGCTTCTATCTCAGATCTAAAAGAGCTCAAAAACTTTTTTTTTTTTTTTTTACCCTCCACCTACAAACTTTGCTGTCACACATCTTTGAGCTAACAACAGCAGTGCTCTTATGACAGAGATTGCAGCATTTCCATGGTTGTCTGTAAGTGAGCTGGAGTTATCTTCTCCCTCTGAGTTCTAGATAAGCATTTTGACTGGCTCATCAGTTTCCCCAGACAGGGAAACTGGATGATGATAGTGCTTCCCTTGACAGTAATAACTGCAGAGGAGATGAGGGAGTGGGAAGATAACACTGTTGCAGACAAATTGTGCTGGTAGCCAAATAATGTTCAGCCTGGACTTGCTGCAGTTGAGACGAACGTGGGTGTGCATTCCCTGAATCACCCAGCCATTCTCTAGCTGGAAGATGTATGTTTCTTCTGCGATGTATGCACTGAGTGATAATTGGAGAAGGAAATTCCTCCCAGATAGTTTAGCCCCTCAGAACAGCTATAAATGCTTTGAAGTTTACTAATGTCATCAACAGTTATTTCCTCTGAATCAGTTCTGAAAAAGAATGATAATTGTTCACCGAAATCTAGAGGTGAACTGAAAGCTAGTGGGGGAGGGAAGGAAATATCACCTGAAAAACTGATGTCACGGGTACTTTATTGTTTAAAATAGATGTTTTTTTTCCTTCACTTGCATTAAAGGAAATGTTATGCTCCAAACCAGAATCATAAGCTAAACATGCTTTTGTAACGTAGTCAGACCTAGTCCACATGGACATTTTGACTAGGTACGTGGCTGGAAGGCAGAGGACCTCCTGTCCTGTTCCAGGTGGGCTAATGGAAAAGGTTGTAGGTTCCTGCTGCTGCAAGAAGATCATCAATGACATTCAGCAGTTAAAACTGCTCAAGAAACTTCATGTGTCCCTGCTTGATACAGACTAGTGACTACTCAGGTTGA